GGGCTTTGCCATCAAGAAATTAATATGCCATTATAGATATTTGCAAATTATTTCAATATTACCGCGGAATAAAAGTTTCCCAGACTGTGTGTTTCCCGCTTTAATATACAAATATCCCCTTGCTGTTTATAATCTCCAAACTGTTGCATCGGTTTAAAATTTTTCCTTTGGTTCGCTCATTTAAATTCAATGCAAATCTCTGATCGCACGTTTCTATGTGGTTTACATTTTATTTGCATTGTTTCGCGTTTATTTAAGTTTTTGTTTTCAACTTTGATTTCGTTATTTTTTATTATTTTGATGCCTCGACATTTATTTTGATTCGACTTTCGTGTGCAATGGGTATTTTAAGCGCTTTTTTCGCAAAATTTTATTTCCTGCTCACCAAAGTCATTTTAAAGTCGATTTTTATTTTAAGCTGCGATTGTCATTTGCCTTTGTTGTCGGTATATTTTAATTTTCCCGCTGTTATTGTACTCTCTTTCAAATGCAATTTGTTATTAATACGAGATAAATTTATTTCAGCTCAACCGTACGGTAAAAAGATACAACAAACCTAAACCAAACGAATGTTACATAAAACGTGACATTTCTGAAACTCACAATTTTATTCCATATTATTTAATTTTATTTTATTTCACTTTTGACTGTATTTATTTTGATTTCAGTTGATGGGTGCTTTCTGTATTCGTGGGCTACTGTTGCTATTGGTGATTGTTGGCCGGGTTTCGTGCACGTTTTATCCCACGCGAGGGATTTTCCATGCTTTACCGGTACAAACACAAAAATATATTTCATTTTGCAGCTGTTAAAATCAATGTTCTGTACTATTAAATTAATCTCAGTGATAATAAAGTAGTTTAATTTAATACAAGCCAGCCATGAATAGGTACATTAAAAACCTTCTGAAAATTGAAAGAATTTATGATTTTATATTATAAGTATTATTATAATCAGAAAACCAAAGCTACAAGTTCGCTGAAATTACCCAGAAAAGTCAAATTTTGTTTCCAAATTTAGCCTGGCATAAAAGGTCACGCAACAAGTAAGCTTTTCGAAGGACTTCTTGTTTCTAAACAGGACGAAGCTCCTTGAAGCATTGGCGCCATCTGGGCAAAGCTCCGGAAAGCTAGGTGGTTGAGAAATTACAACTTTCTATGCCACTTATAGAAAGTCCATGTGCCATAAAAATGCCATTAAGTACACACGTACAAATATAATAAATAATTTTTCGTTTGCTTAAAGCTTACTCATGAAAAAACAGTTTGTTAAATATAAACTGAAAGTTATTTAGGGCCCAAAAAAAAAGTACGTTTACACGTTTTTATGCGACTTTAACCAGTTTTTTTGTGTATTTGCCAAAAGAGCTTTGCTTACACACGGCAATTTTATTATTTAACTTTATATACCTTTTATTGTATAATACCCTGATGCAGGGTTCGTTATTAATGCAGTTAAAATAACTGTTAGCCAAAGAGAACAAAATCCGAAAAAGAGGAAATAAATGTGTGAAAAAATGGTAATAAACCGGTTCGCGGGTGGGTCAAACCAACTGTAAATCGGACTTCAAACGACGACGTTTAATAAATATTTAATAATTGGCATGATGAATATCTCTCTTGTTTGTTGCTACGCGTATGTGAGTGGCTTTTGTGTTTTAAAATAATATATATGGCGTGCAGTTAACAACACCGAGAGCTTCCCCCTTTTATTTATACGATTTCCAGCCATTTCATAAATCGTGGCCAAAAACACATCAATTTGAATGCAATTAAACGCTGGCCAACAACATTAACTATGATTGATCAAATGATATATATCTTTTGATAGGATATATGACAGATGCCCCGTCGATGAGTTGAAGAAATCCCATTGCGTGATCCAATGTTATTTACGGCATTCGAATAGATAATGAGTTGGCCAAAACGATAACGGAATGGTAATGATGTCCTATATATTCCATTAATTATATACGGAAGTAAAGGGAGCACGCCACGAAGGTTTTATTCATTATTTAAAAATAGTATATTATTATTAATTCCCTTTTTATTTTATCATATAGTAAACTTATGTGAACTATAGGCAGTATATGTAAATTGGTTTTATCATGCTTTGGTTTGACTTCTGTAGGTTTATATCACAGGCCAAAAGGCGTGACAAACTCTGATTTCCCACACGATCACGGCCCCTGCAACCTATAAATACTTACATACATTTATAAAAAATGATAATTTCGTTTTCTTTTTGAAGGCATATTAAAAACCCATTAAACAAGAAAACAAAAAGACAAAAACAAAAAGAGTACAAGCGTTGCGAACTCTCAACGGGTCGAATTGAAATCGAAATCTGAAATCCGAAACAATGCGGCAGTTCCACGCGATATTTATGGCCAAACTGTCTTCTGGCGTGAGTACGAGTACAAGTAGTGGCCGAGTGTTTGTATTTGCTATTTGATTTTTTGCCTGTTTTTTGTTTCCAGACTGCCGCCGGCATTGGGCATTCGACTGGAGTTGTGCATGAATGCGAGTGTGTATAAACAAAACCATGCCGGACGGGCTGAAATCGTGCTGATTAATGTTCCGCCATAGCAAATGGCATAGGTCAGTTACACTAATTGAAATAGAATGTTGTCGGTCAGTGGTTTTCGTGGGTGTTGCTCTATATATGTATGTATACTATATAGTCCAACGTAAGCGTGGGCAATTGTGAATGGGAAGTGCTTGGCTCGAGCATCATTTAGAAAGCATCGCAACATCAACTCCCATCCGAAACACGCTTCCTTTCACTTCAGAACGCAGAGTACAGAGGCTTAAGAGAGTTCGGAGTGAAAGTAAGGGGAAAAGAGTTCTCTGAAAAATGAGAAAAACCCACACAGAAGATGAGAAAAGCTTTGTAATCTCAACTTTACAGTATCATGTGTTTCCCACAGTTTTTTTTTACTAAATCGCTACACATTGGCTTTTAATTCAAAGCCAAGCTTAAGGGAAATCTTTTTGTATGAAAGGAATTTCCAATCAATCTAGAATATACTACTTGTGACACCTTGATTTTATTTTAGAAGAATCTTTCTACTTAGAAAGCTTGAGTAAAAGAAACTGGTCTTTATATATGTATATGGTTATATGCTTACCACAGCAAATGATTTACTTTGTCCCAAGATGATGGAACATTCTTTTCTCATGTGAGGAGATGATCTTTGTGGTTTCTTTTTGGTCTATCAATCTGGGATCTTTTAATGGCTACAAGCTAGCATCTGAAATTTGCATAAATTCTTTTTGCGAAAGAAACTTTCTAAAGAAGTGAAGAACCCAAAACATGACATCAACAAGTGGCCAAAAACATGGTGCAAACATTCATATGGCGAGAGCTTTAGGATATGGAAAAGCTGTAGTGTCCAGCTTTCTTCCTTTGGACGAAATTCAAAGTCCAGCTGATGACAGCTGAGCGGTGTCACGTGGTGGAGCTTTTGGGTAGTAACTCAGGGGAGGAACGGAGAGAGTCTGCACACGAGAGAGAGAGAGAGAGAGAGGGAGAGAGCTGAAGGATACGCATGTCCTGGAAACGTCAAAACAAGCAAAGCCTGATTATGATATTCGGTGGGTTTGGGTTTGTTATTGGGGCCCGCCGTTTTCTTCGTTTGTGGCCTGATTAGAAGACAAAGCTGTCTGCCACTCCTCTTTCTCAGCCCCCTCAACCCGCTCCAATTCGGTTGCAGTCGGGCACTTCAACTTTGATTGACATGATGAAGTTGTAAATGCATTACTTGAGACAATCAACGGGCTGGGGAAGCAGGCGCCGGGCATCCCACGGATGCGACTCTGGCAAACAAACCCAGACTGAGAGCAAACTAATGAGGCGCCAGGAAGCCAGTTCAGCGAAAACAAAAACACCAACAAATAGTTTGAACGAAAACGTTTCCACCCAAATATACAGTAAGACCTCTGAAATCAATCAATCAGTCAAGGGATTGCAGAGAAATCACTTCTATTTAAAATTAATTTGAGTACAATCTTGCCATGTAACTATAAAACATCTTTTTTTAAATATTGGTATCTTAAATTCTAGCTCATCATAATTTTAAAATTTGGTTAGTGGTTTAATTTAGACTTTAAAATTGTAAACGAAGGCGTTAACCTTGGTCACCAACATCAAAAGTTAAGTAAGGTTTATAAAGACCTAAAATAAGTCATTAAATTGTTGCCCTCATAAGGTAGTTCGTTAAAGAGGTAGAAGCCCGGAAATATTTTTTGAAACTAAAACAAAGTCTCCATTTTCAGGATTTATGTTAATTCCAACTATTTTTAATCAATTCACTCTAAAATAAATTTCCTAGTTCTACTTTAAGTTCTTAGTAACTAAAAATAAGGTCAGAAAGTTCATAAATTATAGTATATTTCTCGAAATATATTTCATAGTCAAGAAAGGCCTCTAATAGTTTTATTGAGAAATTCAAAATATCTTCAAGTTTGTGAAACGATTAACAAGTACTTAGAAAACATCGTAAAACCCCTCTGAAACTCCGGAAAATGTTCATACTCGTAATATGTAAATCTCAATCTTCTCTTGGTGGTTTTCAATAGAATTTCCCAGCTATTATTTCGTGCGAGGTGTGTTCACTGTGTGCGAAGGCGTGCCAAGGTTAAGCGTTCGCTCAATGAACGAGGGCGGGCGGGTGGCCAGGAGGTGTGCCACTGGTCAGGGGGCTCTGAGGGGGCACACCCCCAAGCGAGGGGTGCAGCGAGGGGCGCAGCTTGTGCAATCAGCTGTTGCTAATGAAAAATGTCGGCGGGTTCAGCCAGGAATAAGCCAAGAGTCAAAGCTTATTGATTTTCAACTGCGTAAGTTGGCCAGGGAAAAATTCTGTGAAAGTCGTTGGGGAATGGGAAGGAAATCGGGAAAGGTGCGGTAGTCCTTCATGGGGGGGGGGACACAATTTCTTGGATTGGAAATAAGAGATAAGAGACAACTTAATTAATTTGCTCAACTAAATGGAAACTTACCGTCACAGTTGATTGTATTTAGATTTATTAATTTGACGTGGCTAGTTTTACTTTTTAATGGCTTGCCGTTTTCTCCTTGTTTTGTTTAATATCTCTTCTTTTTATTGCTGTAAGTATTTCCGCTTTAAATTAAATGCAATTATAATATAGTGTGTGTACGATACAACTATAAAGATGGCAATTATTTATGCACTCGCGTTTTGTTTTGCATTTTAATTACAACGGCTTTTGCATATTTGATAAAGTCGTTTACAAAGCAATTTTCCCGACAAAAGCGAAATCCGGGACGAGGGCAAAGGAAGGGAATCTTATTTATATATACATATACATATGTATGTATTATATTTATATAGCTGAGACAAATTAAACGCGCAAAACGGAAGCAACAATTTTGTGATTTGATGATGTCTAAGGTCGACAGACAAAAACGTAGCAAAAAAATACACAGAAAACGCTGACAAAGAAGTGCAAAAACACAGAAATGTAGCGCATGAATTTGACGCCCCAAGAGAAAGAGAGAGGGCGAGAAAATCAGGCGAGATAGGAGCTTGCTGGTGTATTAGATGGCTTATCAGTGCTTATCAACGCGACCGCTGATGACGCTAAGAGATACAGATACAGATGGACATACACAGATACAGGCGGCCTACGTTCGGGCAAATTGAACAACATTGCAATCAGCGGAAAAAGTGGGCTTAACTTCTGTTTATCTCTCTACATGTGAGCGGGGCTCTGTGCGTTTCTGTAGCAACAGCTTGTTCGACAGCCAGATACACGGCTAGTATCTGTATCTCATAGTTTGCCATGTTTGGCGCTCTGTAGAACATCTCGCCAAAGATTGATAACACCAAGGGGCTAAAGATTGATTTCTTGTCAGGGAATTTCCCGGTACATTGTGTTTTTGTTGATTATACTCAAAAATGTTAGAGAATGTGTATCGTATTATCAAAGGTTCATGATTACGAAGGTTTATTATTTGAAAGTTACAGTGCCACATTGTTTGTGTTTTATGTTATTTAAAGATTGATTATATGCACTATCTGTATTACATAGTGTGGTTTACAAAAATTCTAAATATAAATTTAATTATTAATTTTATTTCGTTAACATAGGTTTTTTAAACACATTTTAAAAATTTCAGTCCTTCAATTCGATTAAACAAAATTTGTTGTGTTATTTCAATTCAAGATTGCCTGTCAATGGCCATTGATTCTTCAAACTTCTTGCGCTTTCTTGATTATTTGGAATTTTATTAAAGCGATAAAAGCGATAAAAGCGATTATATGTGTCGACTTTTTCCCCGAAATATTAAACAAATGTTACATTTTTGTTTTTATTTTTTGTTTTTGTCCATGTTGTTGTTGTTGACAACCGAAAACAAACACCATGAACTTGAGGCACACACTCGCACACACACCCACTATACTAGACGGATTTATATTTATAAAGCTTCTCGATTGCAGCACTGTCTCTTCTTGTTGATTTCCTCGCTTGTTTCAGCACTGCACCGCGATTTAGCGAGATGATTTTCCGCTTTTTTCGCGACGGGTATTTAATTTTCTTCGATATTTTTGCGAATCGCCTATTAACGATTTATTCTGAGGGGAGAGAGCGCGCGTGGGAGCCCCAAAAAAAGAGAGAGCGAGCGGAGAGAGCGGCGGCAGCAGAAGCAGCGCCAAGCAACAACAACCCACCAAGGCAGCGCGAGAAACAGCGTCCGACTCGACAGCGCCAAGTTCCGATAACAACTAAACTGAACCGAACCGAGCGCTTGCACAGCGGTGGAGCACCAGGCGGCGCAGCGGAGCACAGTGGAATGGCAGGCTAATCTGACTAGTTGTTTTAGATAATACAATCCTATAGATGCTCTCCAGAATAACTCCTGTTTAGGGTCCCCAAAAACTAGGCAACATCCTTTGCGAACTCAAGGTTCTGGATATATCAATGCTTGGTTACTGATGTATATACATATTTATGGATAAAACAAAACTCAAACCAAAACAAAGAATAATATATAACTTAGATTAAATATGCATTATTTATATTTTTATATATTTATTGATTATAATTAAATATAAAGGGAAATTGCTTTATAGAGAGGAAAGAGTGTACATTTTCCAAATTATTTTTAGGTTCAATCAATTTTCAGTTCAATCCTTCTTAACAAAAAAAATATAAAAATAATAATCCATTTACTGATATATTAAAAAATGTGTATATATTCTTAATAGCCCCAATAAGAACATCATTCGTTTATTTATTTAATTATTTTTAGTCAAATCTGACCTTTAATACCACTGTGCAGCGCAGAGGCGGCGGCAGAGCAGCAGCCACCATACTCCCGTTCACAGTTAAAATGCCTTCAGTCGTTGCTGTTGCTTCCGCGCTCTCTTGTTGCCGTTGTTGTTGTCAATCAATTGACAAAAAAGTATCACCGGAGCTAACTTTACAGTTACATCCTCTCTGACAACTCTCCGGCTGTTTGGTTCTCCCATGCTCCCGCTGCTTAGGCGCTCTCACTAAGCTAAAACAGCTGATTACGTTATGAAAATGTAAACAGACCGCGGAGAGGCAACAAAGCTTGCTCTCCTCTCACTTTTCAGCTTTTGCTTTTGCTTTTGCCGTTGCTTTTGCTTTTGCTTTTCCTGATTCCCATTCTCACCTGCACCCGCAGCGGGGGTGCTTGCCGTAATGAGCGTGCATTAGGCTAGTAATTGACTAAGAAGCCACTAAGAAACAAAGCCAAGGTGGACGGAAACGAGTTTCCAATGCGACCCTATTGTAGCTCTATTGGATGAGAGGAAAAGGCGGAAAATCCACAGCGGGCAGCTATGTATATGTAGTTAAGAGATTTGTCTGTCCCCAATTTCCATTCATTCATTTTGGGCCAAATTATTTTAAGATACCCTGACATCAGAGAGTTTTCAAATTTTTAAAAAGTCTGGCAGGTCCTAAGAATAATAATGCATAGCTATTTCTTTGATTGTTTTAATTACATTTTTTTAAGTTTTAGTTTGTTTTCATACTTTAAAAATTGTATCGGCAATTAAGATTGGCTATCAGATTAAAATGCCATTAGTCGACAAAATAATGCCATTAAACTTAACGCTAGTGGTTCTAAAATGGTCTTTTCCCATAGGTTTCGCCATTTTGCTCATGTGTGGGAAGTTGTGTATTTTTAATTGTATTAGTCATTTGTAATGTTTATTATTAAATCAAATTCCACTCCAATTCTAAAAAGACTATGAGTCTTAAGGCAAATATTAAATTTAGTTTTCACGAATTTTGTTTTCAGAAAACTAATATTTAAATAATTATTTCCGTATCTTTTGCTTAAGCTATTCACCTACATAAACAAAAAACAATATTGTTTGCTATACATAATTATTCATGTTAAGATACATTATTAATTTTTAAATGTTTTTATGAAATATATTTGTATTTTAAAGAGCCTGTCATAAATAACTTTTAATTAAATGAAAGTTTTATATTAGTTGTAATATTCTAATGTACCACAACCACCACCCATCTCTACCTAATTAACAACATTTTTCTCAACAGCCCCATTAATTTCTCATACTTAAACAAAGAGTTCGGTGGGATCAACACAGAGTCACTTGGTAAAAGCTGAAACAGCCCTTCAAGAGTATAAAGATTTCGACTAATTAATTTGGTTTTAGTTCCCTCGACTGAGGCGTCAGAAAATTTGTAATTGGCCGAGCCCAAAAAAAGTACAAGTATATATAGAATATATGTATATTTATTCTAGTACAGTGCATATGGGAGTACGACACACAAACCGCAAAAGGCAACAGAAATAGATGGCAAAGAATTTCTAGTTGACTGAACACCGAATCTGGCCGCCGAGCCATCAGCCATTAGTCAGACAGTCTGACGACCTAGACCCAGATGCTAGAAACCAGCAACCAGATACCAGATCCGTGGCAGAAGCTATAGCTTTAAGACGAAGCCAAGCCCAGAGCTATGGCTAGCGGAAGCTTGGAGGCGTCATAAATCTTGCGCAACGCCCCATTGGCATTGCTCCGGAGCTGGGAATCGGGCGCAGATCCCTGTCCCTGTCCCTGTCCCCGCCAAGACAATGGCCATTTGCATGGCCACCAGTCGCATAATTATGCACCATCATTCTTGAGGCAATTGGTTGGCCACTGTGCTAATGTGATTAGAGGCTGACGTGTTGAAGTGCTGATGCGCTGGAAGTCGAGTGGAGTTGTTCTTAGCCACTTGTTGCTCAACGCCTCAAGTGGCCAAAAGGAAGTTCGGGAGTCGTAAATTATTCGCTCACAGTTTCCGCTTCTTATCATCACAGATCACTGAGAACAAATAGAAAAGTGGGTGCACTTGGAAATACTAAGATCTACAATATAAAGCCAGATTTATGGGATGTTCCGAGCCATTTAAGACGCTGAAGATTAAGATAAAAAGACAACTCCGTGAAGTAAAACCAGCTGCCAAATAGATATATTGAATAGCTATTTTCTTTTCTTCTTTCCTTTTTGTAAAATATATTAAACCCAATGCCAAGTATACATAAATGTGATTTGGTCCAATTTAAGACAGGCATTTACTTTTTTGGCGAACTGGTTTAAAGCCAAACGCAGCCTTGTGTTCTTCATAAATCATAAGAAGAAAAAAAGTTAAAGCACAAATAAAATAAATAATTTTTTACTAGTATTATTTATTTATTAATTATTCCTAAGAATTATAAATTGTATACTTGTTTTTTAGCCAGACATTTGGGAAACCCCTTACCCAACTGTAAAGGGTTCACGTCAGTGTGTTTATTTCGAGTGTGGGTAAACTGCTCCAGTATTTAGTGTTTGCCTTTCCACTTGGTATCTACGAATGTGTATCTCGTAGAACGCTTTGCTGACTGTTCCCCGCCAGCGCTCAATCCAATTAAAAGCCCAAACCAAACCATCTGTCGGCGGTGCCCTAAAAAACTTTGGTAGGGAGCTCCCGACTATGGCAGCGCCCTCAATTTGAGTCAAGTGTTATTTTGGGCGCTTTGTGTGCACCACAATTATACGACAATTATAAATAATGCCTAATCGCTTTATCTAGCTGGCGACGTAAGTCAGCCCAGTTTAGAAGGTGTCGCAGCCCGGTGAGCAGCTCCGTAAGTATCTTTCTTTTTCAGTATCTGTATCTGTATCTGGACAGGGGCCAAGATTTATTACGAGTTACACTTGGTAGCTTGGCGGTGAGGTGTGCGTCATTTGGCCGGGTTATTGGCATCGGAACTAACTGTTTTCACAGAGATCGCTTCCCTCTCACCTTTCGCCCGGCTATTGCTCTCAATTACCAGGTGGCATTAAGGTGGAAGTGGAAATGTAAATGGAACTTTACCGCACATGCTAGAACCCGTTCTTACCTCCCAGCTAGCCCTCAACAACTCATCTGTCGACACTTGGTCTAGATACATGCGAAAAAGCGCAAAAGATACAAGATAATGTTCTTCTCTCTCCGCCAGATACAAATACAGATGCGGGGATACGTTGAACTCGATTTGGGTACAACAAAAAATGAAAAGAAATAAACTCGACTTGTGAAACTGTCTTTATGAGTCCCCGAATCTTTCCGGCCAGCCATTTGGAATGTCAAAGTTGACATCTGCATGGCTGGTAAGCGGAGAACTATGAGATTTATTTTCCTGCAACTGCATGTGAAAATGCATTTTCGGCATTCGCGGTATTGTGGCGTCATTTTTAAGGTCCATGCTTGGTTGCATGTGCGGCGGAGCTTTGTTGACGATACCCTGCCATCACCAGCCAAAGGTGTTTCGATTAGTCGACCACTTGGCCGAGATTTATATGCAGAATATCTTATTAACTATATAACTATGGTAGTCCCAAAGGCAAATGACCGGCAATTATGTAAAGAGACACCTTCCAGTCAACAGGTATTTGGGAAAGGGTAAGCTGCGACTCTGGCTAGTTGATAAAGCTAGTTGGACAAGCTAGTGGAAAAGCCGATTACTCAAGGCCAACTCGTAAGTCAAGGAGCTAGCAGATGAAGTTGAAAGTTGAACAAGAAAGTTTAACCGGACTCTTGAACAGGAAAAATACAGAGGGAAAGCTTTAAAGGAATGTTTGTAATTTAACAAATTAGATATATCTAATTTTTACAAATTAAATCTAGTTAAAAAGTAAAAAATGGTATGAAAAATTATAAACGAGTCTGAATTGCTTAATAAATCGGTTTGATTCTGCTTTAATGTTACAAAGAAATAGAAAGAGAAAATATTAACTAGACCGTTTTCATATAAAAGAGTGCAACCAATTCCAAAAAGTAACTAAAAAAACTGTATAGTTTAAAAAGTATTTCAAAGACTCTATTGCGGTGCCCAAACAAAGGGCGCCACCAAAAGGTATTCCAACAAAGCCTCGGAACAATTGAAAATTCGTTCAACTGGCAATTTGAACCAACTTAGCCGAGCAGCTAATCTCGTGGCAACCATCGGCGGGCAAGGCGATTCTCATTGCAAACCACAGCAGAGCATCTGGCATTCGATTGCCCCAACCATCTCCAGTTTTTATAAGGCCTTTGCACGCGAGCCAGAGTGGAGCAGACCTGATGAATATCATCATGTAATACCCGAGAAATGTGTAACGATGAGGCAATCCCAGCAGACTATCATTATGATACGCCATGGCGGAGGGATCGTCTCGTCTCGTCTTGCCTGGTCTCGTAAAATCTGTAGAAATTGACAATGCTAATGGGGCAGCGGAAATCGGGCATTAGCCATCCATAATTTGCATAAGAAATCGGTCTGGTGTTTGAGGATGGACAATTAGATGCCCAGACACGTTCCCCAGACGTGAAGCTAGAGCACTTTGGGTGGCTTAGGCTTAAGTAACGGAGGTAGAAGATCTTGACCGCTCGCAGCACCTAACGGCAATGCAATGGAACCGCTTTGCAAACACACACGCCCGATCGAGCCACAGAGAAAGGCCGGAGGAAAAAGAGAAAAGAAATTATATATGCAACGAAATTTCTTCCTGGCCGGACTCTGGCAAAAAAAAAAAACTGCAAAACTGGTCCACCGTGACCCACTAAGGCCTCTCTTTACTTTTTTTCCTCGAAAATCAGCCACCGAAAGCTGACTTTAACTCCACTGCAGACCAGAAGGCGAGGACGGACCCGGTCTGTTTTCTGCGTCACGTTTAATTCTTACTTCCGCTAATTGCTTTAAAAATACCTCGAGAACTCATCGCAGGTATAAGCGTGTATTTTTAGAATGTGTGTAAAAAACCTTTAGTCGCAACTTTCACTTTGCTGAAAAAAGTTAATTCAAAAGGAGGAAGATAAGATTCCTACTGATTATGAGTGAGCTCATCCGATGTTTTTAATAAATTTAAAGAATGATTAATAAGCATTACGGTCTTTTAAATTTATTAAGATAATAATATGATTTTTGTTGTTCTTATATAAATGAGTTTTTCTTTTACACAAGGGTTAACAGCTCTGGCTGAATGCGTTTTCGGCAACTAAACAAGATCAACAAAAAAGACAGCCATAAAACGGTGCCAGCACGGCTTCATTGGTTTTGCGGTTAAAATGTTGCAACAAGAACAGGCAATGCCAGAAAATGTTTGGCTGTAACAAAGAAAAATAAGAAATACATTTTTAAGATCGAAGCTTTAAATACTCTAAAGATAACAAAAAGGATTTAGGATTAATATACAAAACGTAAGTCTCTAATCCTAACGAAATAATACAATAAAAAACTGTACAGGAAATTAAAGGATATAATTAGGTATATTATCTACGTAAATATATATTTCTATTAATTGCCCTATATTTATGTAAGCCTAGCTCTAGTTTTTCGATAAAGAATATTATCTCTTTTATTCTTTGTAAAAGCATCTCTACTTTAGAATCTCATACCTAGTTGTACGATCTGAAGAATCCCTTTAAAAAAGTCAATCTGCGCTTTACCCAATTTTTGCAAATTTAATTTTACCCTTTTATGCAGCCATTCAAATCCAACAAAGCGATAGAAAACTGGCAAATCTATAAAAATGCAAATTAGAAGAGCCACAGAAGAAACACAAGCAGCGTCTCCAGAAACTGGAACGAACCAAGACTGTGATTCAGAGACCCCGACTTCGACTTAGACTTCGACTTAGACTTTGACTCCGATTCCGAATCGGATTCAGATTGTGGGGCCACAGATAAACGCTATTCGTGCTATTGCCTCTGGGCTGCTCTAAGTTGCAAGACCGTGTGATCTATGGGCTGGCCAGCCCAATTGGTTGGTCAGCAAGAAGCAATTTGGGTTAACTGCAGCTGCAACACGCTCTTGCCAATTGAGGAGCTTGGGCCAATTAATTGTGCGGAAATCTGCGAGGCGCGTCATAAAATACTGTCGCTTTTTCATCTCTCTTTCAGCACCACCAGCACCGGTCTTTGATGGGAAGTTGTTCCTCCGGAATGGAAGGTGCACCTGCACCATGGGGATGCACAGGAAAAGTAGGTAATATAGTTTATGATCAATGTCTTGATTGCTCTATTACAAAAGAAGCTTAAGTCGGAGATGGTAGAAGAAAGTCAAAGACGTTTCACTTTTTACTTAGACTATAATTTGTGTATATTTTTTAAGGTGTATTTTGATGACAAATTATGAATATTCATACAACAATTTACATACTACCTGCAAAAATAAACAAATATATCATTTTCCTCTGTGCATGTTAGACCGAAGGCATTCTGGCGTGCAAACCTTGACCATGAAACACGCTCGCCGGCCACGTTGACGTGCCCATAAAAGCGGCCGGCAACAATCCTAAACATTTTCCTGGCAATTAAGAGCCACAGAAAATGAGTTAGAAATTGAAATTGCTCAACTGCCTGGCGTTCACGTTTACAAGAGCCATAAGCCTCCACATCCACCTTCGAGAGTGAACGATGGTCAATGGCATTCGCTTGGCCTGCAGGTTGTGCAAGCCCACTTTATGCGACAGTTACATCTATATATGCGCTGCAAACGGGTTTGCCGGCCAAAAAAAAAAAAATTTAAAGCAACAACGACAACAAAAATAAAAATAACAATAATAAACACGGCAAAAGCACCGTTTTGGACCGGCCTCCAAGGCACGCTACCCACCAAATGGAGCCATTGCCGGTCTGGTCTGTCAATTAGCGGCGGAGCGACATGACAGTGCACTGAACTTGTTACGCTTTAAATTGTTGATAAGCCCCACTACAGTTTATGATTTGTTAATGTGTGTTCACTGGCCGGCCAAATGCGACACACTGAATCGCGGTGGTTGTACGGTTTTGGCCATTAACCCATTTTTCAGCCACATTCCAGCCACAGAATTTTGGCACACAAATTAAATATGACCTGTTCCCTGAGTTAAGCATTTAACAGTTGGCATTAATTTAATTAAATTTTGCATTTGTCACCAGCTGGCAACTATTAATTGCTGCTTAATTCAGCTGCTAATATTTTAAATTAAATTAGTTGGACGCTGCCATTATTTAATTAAAGTATTTGCTAATTGCCTGCATCTGGCTATTCATGCTGCCCATATTTAGCAATATTCTAATAAATATATTAATCCCCGCTAAATGATATGGCTTTATTTCAAGGGGTAAGACCACGATGATATTGCAAAAACTAAAGGTAAACACTTGTCACGATTTGTAGGGGGTCCTAAGATGAGTTGAAGTGAGCCAGGGCTGTAATAAGCATATTTAAACTAAAAACAAAAAATACAAAAACATATTTTCTTGATAAAATTATTAATTAAATTTTATTGATTATTAAATTATACTTTTATTAAGTAGTTTAATGTAATAATTTAAAATCCTTCGCAAAAAGAATCACACCCATTTTCTTACTTATTTATTTGCTACAAGAGAACATAAAACAACATTGTTAATGCGTATAGTCTATTTTATAAACTATGTAAATAAAAATGCGTGATCATTACGTTCCTATAAATAACCCAAATTCCGCTCTCTCATAGAGACTCGCTTGCAAATAAACTAAACTGTTCCCATGGCTGTGGTCCATTCTCCATATATCATGCCCAGAAGTTCAGTGGGTTAAGCGGCGTGCTCGGTCCAGCTGATTAGAGATTAGTGATATATCATCCCAGTGCTGTGATATTCCAGAGAGGCATCGTCTGCTCTTCTGCCGAGTGGGAGCAATGGGAGAGAAAGAACCATATATAATGCCATTATATATATATATTCGTGGGGCTGTGACAGATGTCCGTGATTGTTTATACGGAGAGGAGGAGCATGTGGAATAAGCAAATCGAAAAGAGCAGTTGTGTTTGGTTTGCGGAGCTGCCAAGAGCGGGAAGCGAACGCGGACGATGAATAAAATATGTGGAATACTCTGTGTACTGGGCCTGGGCCTGCTGCTCATTTGTGCAGTGCCCGGTAGGGGACAGTCCACGGAAAATACCACCGAGGTGACCCCGACGACAACCACTTCAGCATCCACAACGACAACCACTGCTGCTCCACCCAAACTCCTGGTCGCTATCCACTATGAAGCCCTATGTCCCGACAGCATGTACTTTATCCGTCGCCGACTGCGCGATGCTCTGCAGGATAACAACTGGTGGCCCATCACGGATCTCAAGCTATATCCTTTCGGCAAGGCAGGGGTGAGTAGGATAAAGTTAAAATTATATCTGGAACAACTTAGTGTAGAGTTTTTAAGTGTTTCTATATGTATTTCTTTTATTCTTCAAAACATCCAATCATTTTACCTTGAGAATATTCAAAAAACATTTGTATTTACACTCGACTGATGAGTAAACAAACCACAAAACTCAAGCACTTTTGTGGGTGTGTTTCAGTAGCAGTCCAAACGATAATTTAATAGCATTAAGCACGAACTTAATGTGTTCTTTTTAAAGTTTTTTAATTAAAAAATACATTAGTATTTGCAATACCACTATACAATAAATATGGTTTATTTCATTAGGTAAACAAAGTCCTAAGCCAAGTTCTATTCCTACTCAATTTTAAGGATTCTAAAAAAATATTAAAATTTTATTTATTATCAATATTTCAAGATAACTTATAATTTCTTAGTAAAAAAAATTGTGGGAATTTTTGTTTAAGCTCATTTAGATGCCAATAAATTATACTTGGTACTAAATCTGATTAGTTGTGATTGCTTTTTCCATTTTTGCTTCATAAACAATTTTATTTTATTCAAACGGAATTCTCGGAAAATTCTCTGGAAAACCTCACACTGTTTCCACTTAAATACATAAATTCCTTATGAATAATATATGAGGGAATTTTTTAATTTATTGATCTGCTTCTTTTCCAGTTCTACAACGACACATCCACGGGTGAGATGCAGGTATTCTGCCAGCATGGAGAGGAGGAGTGCGAGCTGAATGCCCTTCATGCCTGCATTATCGAGACCCAGGACCTCCAGAACGCCTTTGGGCTGATCTACTGCATGCTGCGCTCCTATGGCAACCAACTTGACAAGTGCTCCAACCACCTGGGTCTGGACGTGAGCAAGGCAAGGCAATGCAAGGACTCGCGCAAGACCCCCGAGATCTTGGCGCCCTACGGCAAAGAGACCCTGAAATTGGGCCTTTCCTTTGTGCCCAGCATTGTGTTCGAAAATGTGAGTATGTTTGCGGTTTCATCAGATGTAAAACTAATTTTAAACTTTAATTCCCAGGACTTTGATCCTTACAGCCAGAGCAGTATTCGCTACAATTTTGAGTCGCACTTTTGCAAGCAATACTTGAAAAAGTTCAATATCAAACTACCCACTTGTACCTAATTTTATAAAAAAAAAAAACATATATGATGAGTAATGTTTTTTAATGTGCAAAAACTAATAAATTATAATTACACTCTGCAGTACTGTCTCGGAAGCTGTTTGCCTATATGCTGACTCAAGCTCTTGAGGCTATATAAATGGAAATTTAAATAGATCGTCTTATCGGACACATTAGTGTACACAGATGCTAATCGTGAACAGCTAAAAATAAGATTAAGCCTGCTGCGTTTTGCTGTCCAGTTTTCCAGTGGTAATTGCTCTCTGTGTTTGCCCTAATCAGCTAAGGTTTTCGATGGCTTTGTTTTTGGACTGACGCAGGCGGGATCCACGCTCAGCATGAGTCTCGAAGGGGAAATGTTCACCACCTCCCGCCAGGGGCACCGAACCAGGGGGTCGTGCTGGATCAGGAGCATAATTTTCAATGGGGAAGCCAGCTGTAAAAGCGTTCCATAGTTCCGCATTTTGCTTTTGTTTTATTTAGCTAATTGCTAAAACAGTAAATAAAATGGTAATATTTAATGACCCCCTTCGGAATCACAAAAAGAAAATATAAATTAGTAAAAATTAATTGTATCATTAAAGTTTACATTTGAAATATTTGTCAAAAGTAAACTATAAATTTATTTGTGTATTGATAATTTAAACTCTAGTATTGGCCCAATAAAAATTTAATTTGTTTTCAAAATAAAAACAAAACAAAGTATTCATATATTCTTCCCATTCCGAAAGACTTGCATCCCCCTTAAGGGTTATTCCGACTGCGCCTCTGATCGCATTGTGATAAACGGAATGTAGCTACGACGCCCCGCTCATAACGAATCCGTACTTTATTTCAGTGTTGAGCGGTCACTGTCTGGGAGCAGCCGAGGATTTCAAGATCAGAAATTAAAAAAAATTAAGCTGAACCTGCACCATGAAGGCGTTTGTCTTTGTCTGCCTTCTGATGATGGGATTGATGGGCGTGGCCACGCCAAGGGTAAGTGACCCAGTTGAGCTTTGATTCCGAATTATGACGATCATTGGGGATATTTGCAGCGTCATCATAAAGCTCAGAGTAACAGACTCCCGGTCGCGCTTTACTACGAAGCCCTTTGTCCGTACTGCATGGATTTCGTCACCACACAACTGGGTCCCTCGATGCTTCGATTGGACCGCCTGCCATACACAGATCTCAAACTGGTTCCTTATGGAAATGCCAGGGTGGGTCACACAGCAACTAAAAATATTAACAGCCATATTAGACCAATAATCCTTGGATAATCCTCTAAATTGGCAGCACGACGATGACGGAAACGTGGACTGCCAGCACGGAGTGAATGAGTGCGAACTGAATGCTTGGCATGGCTGCATCCTGGAGCATCATGAGATTGCGGAATCCCTGAAGCTGATTGCCTGCATGATGCGAGGAAAGAAGAACCGGCTGGACAAGTGCGCTGATCGCTACAAAATCAACGTGGATGATGTTAAAAATTGCAAGAAAACGCGGAATATTAACGACATCTTGGAAAAGTACAGCGAGGAAACGGCCAAGGTTCCTTTTCCAGGGGTGCCAGCTATTGCTCTGGATAACGTAAATATGTATACATTTATTAAAGGTCCTAATAATATACTTAACTTTATGGTTATAGATATATGATGAAAACGTATCAGCAAACTTAACCGAGAATTTTGATGCCTTTTTTTGTGAGAGCTACAAGGAAAAGTTCAATAAAGTACTAGACAACTGTCAATAAATAAATATGTATATCGTAAAACATCGACTTATTTTCCGGCCGTCGTCAACTTAGAATCGTAATGAAAAAAATATTACAAGGCATACCATTTTAAGAAACTACGTTTATTTAAATGTAATCTAAAGATGAGGCTCAACAATAAATCAAATTATATGCAACATTTCATTAAGACAATATATAATATAATTAGTTTAAATATTATTTTATGTTACTTTGTCCTAATTTTGAATTTATGTTTAAGACTTTCATTTTGCAACACACATTGAATGACAAAGATTAAATAGGTAATTACTTCATTTGCCATTTTAAGAAAATGGAAATATCACAAAGACCCAAAAAACAGACCCTAAAAGGGTAAAGATTTAATTGAGTCGCAAATACTTCTGCCTGAAGAGAGAGGACAAGGTATTGTTTTCTTTAATAAAAAATAATGCAACTGTTTACTTACAAATCTCTGCAATTCCTTGTGCTTCCCAAAGCAGCTTAACTCGGACTGTATCTGCCGAATGTCCTTAAACTTATTTGTTGCTTCAATTAACACACTCTTAAAAGCACTTTAGCATATTTGTATATTTTATTTATATTTTACTACGAATTATAAATTGCACATAATAGATATGATGTGAATAATAATGTAGCCTTATAGTAGGTAATACATTTAATTATGTTGTAAGGAATTCTATTAAACCTTTCGATTAGTAATAACAAACAATTTAGAAAGTCGGCAAACATGACGAAATCGCTAACAAGAATAAGATTTAATAAATATTTAGTCCTCCTTGGAGAGACTTCCCAGGTCACTGAGGAAAACTTCGGGGGATAATATGTGCGAAGAGCCGACCAAGACCTCCCAGTTGCGAACTGCGTTGGTTACTTCATAGGCGCACCTCATTTCGGACATGCTGACGCCGCCCACGACAAATATGATCAGCCTGGGGACATTCTTCACCTGGGCCTGGGCCTTGTCCTTGTGCCAGTGGCCATAACGGGCACTCGTGGGTGCATGGTAATTGGTGTTCTGCGCACGACCCTCCAGGAAGGGGAAGTGCCGGGTATCTAGCTTATCCTCGATGCAGTCCTCCATTATGTCCTTGATCACAGGTGTCCAACGGGACATCTGATATGTGCTCTCGGTTATTCGCTCCTTTCGCGGAACATTGTACACCTTCTTGCGCGAGTCCGCAATAACATTGATTCCCAGATAGCTAAGGTTGCGGACCATATCCTGGTCCTTGGGCGACAACTGAGCGTGCGTGAATAGCTTGGTTAGGTTTTCCTCGGAAATTCCGTTCTTGATCATCACATAGAGAGCAATGATGCGAACCTTGTCGTAGTTCGACACGTTCGCATCCAAAAGAATGGGCACAATGTTGCGCATATGATCCTTAATCTTCTCGCCTTCGGCATCGGTGCCCATCGCCAGGTCCTGCTCCACTCGGCACAGTTTGTCCACATAATTCTGATAGGACTTCATGCAGTGCTCGGCTAAATGCAAATGGGTTGAGTACTTGGAGAGCTCCTTCTGGTACTGCGGCATCTTCTTGATCATCTGCGACAGGTCGCGCATTGAGGACTTATCAGTGGAGCCCATTCGCTTGGAGTCGGTAAATTTCTTAAGATTCTGAGTGACCTGGGTGGACACAACAGCAATGTGTTCGTGACGCAGCTCCACCCACAGGTCGTCGTTCTCGTCCAGCAGCACCTCCTTGTCAGGCTGGTTCGGCCCAGGAGAGTAGCGATAGACGTCGTTGACAATTGGGAGTAGATCGTAGGCCATGGCCTGCAGAGTGAGCTCGTGCAGAAGTGGCGACACACAGTCAAAGCCACGGTCCAGGATCAGCAGCTGGGAGCGGGCCTTCTCCGGTCCCTCGCCCATGGTGGGTTCGTCAGCCTTGTAGGCGTCCAGCTTCTGCTGTACCGATGCAGCCAGGTCGATATTCCGCTCCCAGTCGCTGCGGTAGCGCACATTCGGGTATTCGCCCAAGGTGGCGCATAATGTAGCGATCTGCTCGGCAATGCGCTCGATGTGCTTGCTCCGAATGGAGGCGAAGGCCGGCGAGTACAGGATCTGGAACGTATCCGGAGAGTCCAGCGAATACACCTGGCACTCGTACGGCAGAAACGCCACATTAATCTCCTTCAGGGTCTTGATCTTCCGGGCGGCGCACGACTTGCACAGGTCATTGAACAACTCCTCCGGACAGACCTCGGTGAAGAAGACATGCGCATACCTATACATGGGACGCGCAGGGTTCTCAAAGTCGCGTATCAACCCTCGGACAGACTCATCCGACGGCGTTATCAGATAGATGGCGTCCATGGTGGGCAGCGGCTCGCGCTTCTTGTTGATGTCCTCAACCAAGGTGATTCCCTCGGCGCTGATGTCGTGCATCTTGGTGCAGGCGGAGACCATGCGCATCCCCAGCTTGTCCACCACCAGGACTCGCCACTCCGTCTCCCCAGATCCGCCAGCCTTGGGCAGCTTGTTGGTGGGTTGGTTTTTCGGCGGCGGAGGCTTGTACTTCACAACCTCGTTCATGATCTTCTGGCCAACTAACACTTTCAATGCCATTTTAGCTGCAACTGGGTTTATTAGTCACCACGAAGAGAACTTTTTCGAGGGGCTTATATCGCGGTGGTATCGAGGTTTCGGTGGTCCCAAGGAGACTTCTCGTAATCTCCAGATACTTAACAGGTGGGATAAGGGCTGAACGCCGAGCGGTGGAGTTAATTAGTTATATTTTGTGGGTGTTTTTCGTTTTGGTTTCGACTTGTTTTTTTTTTTTACTCTCCCTCTTTTGATATCCAGATTATGACTCAGCGTGGCCAGATGGTATAAATGAAGTCATTGTTGATATATTACTTTTAATACCAAACTCCAAAAAGTAATAAACGAAAAAAAAAAGAAATAAAATAAAATGGTTTTTATTTTAATTAATTACGTTTTTATTTTTAAATTCATTGTAAATTTTCACATAATTTCAAGAATATAAGCATATAAAAAATATCTTTAAAAATTGTTCTCTTGGTATTTTCCGGTATATTGCCACAAATCGATGACTTGTTTGCGCGACTAAGAAACGGTCCCACTGGTCAAGATTCGCAACACGCGACGAAACAATTTTTCAATTTTTTCGTCAATTGCCTGGTTTTTCCCCAAATATCGAAAACAATCAATCACTGAAAAGTGAGCCAAAGCAGAGCGCGAGATGAGCGAGACCATAAACACCGCGGCGCAGTTCCCGACCTTCGAGAAGCCGACCGTGCAGTTCAATGAGAAGGGATGGGGCCCGTGCGAGCTGCCTGACACCTTCAAGGATGTGCCGTACCAGCCGTTCAGCAAGAACGATCGCCTGGGCAAGATCTGTGACTGGACGAACACCTCCAACAACGACAAGAAGTACCAGAGTGAGTAGGGAGTTACCAAACCGAAGCTCACCTTTGCCGCAGCCCGGCGAAAGTGAGGTTATGTGCGTGTGTCGTGGCAGCTTGAGTGATTTTCACCCTCCTTTCCCCGCAGACAAGTACGCCTCCAGCTTTGGAACCGGCAACCAGTACTCGTACTACCATGAGGAGGACGAGACGACCTTCCATCTGGTGGACACGGCCCGTGTCCAGAAGCCGCCTCACCAGCGCGGACGCTTCCGCAACATGCGCAACTCGCGTTCTGGACGCGGCAGGAATGCCCGTGGCGGCATCAACACCCACGGCATGACCACGCTGAGCGGCAAGAACGTTAAGGCCCGCGATCCCCGACGCGGCATGGGCAAGAAGTTCGGCAACCGCGGACCCCCGCCCAAGATGCGCGAGTCTTCGGTGGCCGTGCGCGCCGACTGGGCCTCCATCGAGGAGATGGACTTCCCGCGGCTCATTAAGCTCTCGCTGCCCAACATCAAGGAGGGCGTGGATATTGCCACCTGCGGTACTCTGGAATACTATGACAAGACCTACGACCGCATCAACGTGAAGAACGAGAAGCCGCTGCAGAAGATTGACCGCATCGTGCACACGGTGACTACCACCGACGATCCTGTCATCCGACGTCTGTCCAAGACCGTCGGCAACGTTTTCGCCACGGATGCTATCCTGGCCACTATCATGTGCTCGACTCGCTCCAACTACTCCTGGGACATTGTCATCGAGAAAGTTGGTGGGTTGAATACAAAATAAGCCTCCTAAATTAAGCCTTTGGTCTTAATAATACTAATGTTTTGTCTTTTGTTCAGGCGACAAGATTTTCATGGACAAGCGCGACCATACCGAGTTCGATCTTCTGACCGTAAACGAGACCAGCGTGGAGCCCCCAACCGACGATGACAGCTCTTGCAACTCTCCCCGCAACCTGGCCATCGAGGCCACCTTCATCAATCACAACTTCAGTCAGCAGGTGCTTAAGACTGGCGACCAGGAGGCCAAGTTTAAGTTCGAGGAGAGCAACCCCTTCATCAGCGAGGATGAGGATATCCAGGTGGCCAGTGTGGGCTACCGCTACAAGAAGTGGGAGCTCGGAAGCGATATTGTAAGTCATTTTAAAAGCAGAAAAGCGTTTGCAAACTATATCTATCTTAAATTCCCTTTAGGTTTTGGTGGCTCGTTGCGAGCACGACGGCGTTCTGCAGACGCCTAGTGGTGAGCCGCAGTTCATGTCCATCAAGGCGCTCAACGAATGGGACTCTAAGCTGGCCAATGGCGTCGAGTGGCGTCAAAAGCTGGATACCCAGCGTGGTGCTGTGCTGGCCAACGAGCTGAGGAACAATGCCTGCAAGCTGGCCAAGTGGACGGTTCAGGCTGTGCTGGCTGGATCCGATCAGCTGAAGCTAGGCTATGTTTCACGTATCAATCCAAGGGATCATTCCCGTCACGTCATTCTGGGCACGCAGCAGTTCAAGCCGCACGAGTTTGCCACCCAGATCAACCTGAGCATGGACAACGCCTGGGGCGTCCTGCGATGCATTATCGATCTGGTCATGAAGCAGAAGGACGGCAAATACCTAATCATGAAGGATCCCAACAAGCCGATCATCCGCCTGTACGACATCCCCGACAACACATTCGACTCCGATGACTCGGACGATGGTGAGGGCGACGATGGCGAGGGTTTCCAGCAAGTCTACAACTACGCGAACAACGGAAACAAGATTTAGACTTGACGCCCCCAACAGAATCATACCCGCTTACCTTAACTATCGATGCCCTCTGGAGGAAACAGCACTTTTCTAGGCATTAGCCTTAAGCATTTGTATTCAAGTTGTAGCCAGCAGCTGATTCCTAGTAAAGAGCAAAGGGCGAAACAATGTTACGTTTTTAATGGGAGCAGTTCCTCAGAAATGGATTGCAGCATAATATCAGTTGCGTATGAAGGAGAGTGAATCATTTCTTCCATTTCTTTCTTAAATATCTTAAACTATATTTACTAATATATATTGTGGCAGTATGTCGTTAAGCCTTGACTGCGCAGCATGGTGTCCGGAATGAGGACTTTCGTTTGCTGCCTGATCCAGATTTCGTTCTTGATAAACTTGGCTGAATTTGGTAATTAATGATAAATAAGTCTTAATCCTTGGTGTGTGAAATTGGAATTTTTGTTTTACAAATCCCTAGCTAAGTTTTCCGAATGCCAATCCGATGAGAAATGCATCAGATTGGACAAGTGCTCACATATAGTAGACGTCATTCGGCAGGATATTAAAATGACCTCCGAACAGAAATACTTAATGACTCACAAACAGTGTGATTTAGATTACCGGTCAAAATCGTACCTACAGCGGATTTACGTCTGCTGCCTGGAGCCAGGAAACGTTTTGCCAGATGTGAACACTTGTGGACAGCGGCCACCCTCTTTCCGCATTTTCGGTGGCAAAGAATCTAAGATTAATGATTTCCCCTGGATGGCAATGCTGATCTATAACAAGGGGCAGGAGGACCAGCTGTCTTTATGTGCAGGCTCGTTGATCAACACCCGCTATGTGGTGACTGCTGCCCACTGTTTGGTCAATTGGCCGATGATCGAGTCGGGCACGGTGGTCACTAAGGTGCGCCTGGGCGAATGGAACACATCATCGAATCCTGACTGCCTCAGTCAGTTGAATGGCAGGACGCACTGCTCGGATCCCTATCTAGAACTTGATGTCGAGCAGAGGATCGTGCACAAGGGCTACCTAATCGACTCCAAAAGCTATCAAAACGATATCGCCCTCATTCGAATGCGTCAGGCAGTGCGGTAAGTAGAGATTTCATAGTCATTGGGTTGCACATAAGCTGTAGACACTGTAGTTATCAACGCCAGTTATCCTAATTGTCCACAAAATCCGATATACAAAAAATTAAAAAGCATTTATTTAATGATAGGTGTTTCAAGGTACATCTAGTTTTTATTTAAAAAATGTCATCTCTTCAATTTCCTTTTCTCAGCTATACAACATGGATCAAACCCATTTGTGTGAAGACTTCACATGGCAATAACCTTTGGAATTCATTTTCTGAGGAGACAAAATTTAAAATTGCTGGCTGGGGCAGCACGAATAAGCGACAATCCAGTTCAATTTTAATGACTAGCAGTATCGTGCAAAGGAAACCACATTTATGTTGGAAAAGGTATAAGAGGCACTGGCCTGAGTCTCAGTTGTGTGCCGGTGGAATAGATGGAAACGACACATGTGTGGGCGACTCCGGCAGTCCTCTAATGGCCACTATCGATGTCGGATCCGGCCAATATGTCTATCTAGCCGGCATCACTTCTTATGGACCTACACCATGTGGATTTCCGGGGTGGCCAGGCGTCTTTACGAGAACCGCAGCCTTCATTGATTGGATCCAGCTGAATCTGCGCCCTTAATGTGTTTCAACTGATTTGTAACTATTCAAAGTGATTTATTGAACATTTTAATTATATTAATTAAATTAATTAATCATCAATTCAACAATGTATCACCTATTCTTCAACAAATAATCCCCTTCTGCACAGTGTACGTAATAGTGTAAGCTAGCCAATGCGAATATGTGAATAAATTAGCAATTTTATTTATTATGCCTCCAATTTCTGTTGTATCCAATCAATAAACTCTCCGGTGCGGGTATAGACGGTTGGCCAGCCCTTAAGGCCGCAGGGTTGGGTGCCGAAAGAGGTAATGCCGGCGATGTAAAAGACCTCACGATCGCCCGTGTTTATGGAAGTCATCAATGGTCCGCCGGAATCTCCGCCACAAGTATCAACCCTGGACTCGCCGCCGGCACACATCTGCGAGTTGTTCAAGGGCACCTGGAACTTGGACTTGTACTTGTCCTGACACTCGGTCTGGTTCCACACACCCACAGAGATCTTCTGTTTGATTGGACTGGGCAGCAAATCCTCGGTGAGTCCCCAGCCGGCCACATCCATGGTGTAGCCGACGAATAGGTTCCTTCGCAGCTCCTCGCTGGTTGGCAAGCAGATGGGTCGCACGTAATCGGTGAAGCTGGGGCCAGGAAATACTTTAGGGTTAAACATCTGAAAGGCGTAGGATGTGTGACCCGCTTACCTCACACTTCGCTTGAGTCGAAGCAGCGCGATATCGTTCCTCTGATCCACCGAGTTGGGCACAACTCTCCACCTCGATGTCGATGTGATTGGGGGCGCAGACCCGCTTGCCAATTCCCTGGCTGTAACAGTCGGGATCTGTGCGCGTGTCATACTCACCCAGGCGAACGCTATCCAGGAAAATTTCTGACTTATTCAGATGATCGCTAGCCAGGCATTGGGCGGCGGTCAGAACGTAACGGGAATTAATCAAGGAGCCGCCGCAATAAAAACTATATGTTTCGGAAAACACTGAAAGCAAACATATTTATTGTGCTATGCCTAATTTATTTAATAATTTATTACATACTTATTTAATTTTATAAATTAGAAATGACCTTTTAAAATAGTCTACTCACGTTTTTTATACCGAAGTAAAACCACCCATGGGAATTCCCCGATCCTCGTGTAGGTACCACCACCAACTATGCGATCACTGAATAGGAGTCCGCATGTGTCGGTTCCAGGCAGCACATTGCCAGGTTTCTGGCCATCCTCATCTGGGGCTTCCTGTGACCCAACTATCAATACGGAGAAAGAAAATAAATAAATAAGAGATTATTAAATATGAAGATAATGCTCTTGAGGAGGTATCAACGAATCAATAGGATATTATTTAAAACGGTTTAACTATTTTATATTTAAATATTCGTAAATAATATAAATACTATACATATTTTCTTTTATAGAATGGTCTTTCACTTACCCGCTTCTACATTCATTCCGGATAACATGGCTATAACCAGCAGCAGAATTAGAACTTTCCGCTCTATAGTTGCCATCTCGTCGCTGTGGATATCAGGTTGAGACTAACAAAGATCTCTGACAAGCGGTCCGACTTAAGTACAGCTTAAGCGCTACTGCTCACTTGTGCAAAAATCATATAGAGTCGAGCCTTAGAAGCATTTACAACCCTTAGTTTTTTCTTGTTTTTAACACCATAAATAAGTAAACAGTTTGGAAAATCCCACACAAAATGTAAATGTGTCTAGCGTTATTAAAACGTCATGACCAGGTTTTCTGAGAATAACCGGTTAAGAGAAGACTGACTTAGAGCAACTGCATCTATCTGCGATCTATGTTAAATAGAGCAGATAAGTGCTGACAGATAGGTGTCGATGGGTGTGCTGAATGGGTTTGGCCCTGATAATTTCCACAATTGGCAAAAAAAAAAAAAAACTGTTAAAACTGGGAAAACTCTGCTCGTATCAGTGGGCAGTTGCCCGCAATCTGGAGCACCTTTGACCCGCTGCCACGCTGGGAACGCGAGATAACGTTTGCGATAATCGTACCCGGTGCAGCGGGAGCAGTAGCGATTAAGCTGGACTTAAACCGGACCGCCAGCCGGAGAACTTAGTTAGTCTCAGCCTGAAGCCCGCAGCGACGAGATGGCGACAATGGAGCGGAAAGTCCTAATGCTGGTGCTGGTGATTGGCATGTTAGCCGGAATGAATATAGGAGCGGGTAAGTGAAGCTATACTCTAAGCTCGGATCTAGACGAAGATATTCCCAAGTGTTGGCAAAAATTTGGACATGGATGGTCTTGGAAATTCAGTATATACAAAACAGAAGTATATATGTTGTATATATTATACATATATTGATATATTGAAACCAATGATTTAAACAGTTTTAAATTATATCTTATGGACTCGCTGATACCTCCTCATCAGCACTGTCTTCACATTCTATAATCTTTTCGTTATTCCTTTGTTTTTTGTTGCTTCAAGGAAAATTTTCAAAATTCCATACTGTTTTTGTGAACAATTTAAAATCAATTATCATTCAAACAACATATATGCCCTCCACGACGAACCGGTTTGATCTCTGTTCAACTGCAACGCAATTGATACTCTCTTTTTTATAGACGCCGCACAGATCAGCTTTGGCACCTGTACGCCACAACAGAGCGATGAACGCGGTCAGTGCGTCCACATTGCAAGCTGTCCTTACCTGGCCGACATCCTGAAGGCGAGCCCCCAGACACCTGCCCAGCGCGAGCTGCTCTCCAAGAGCCAGTGCGGCCTGGACAATAGACGACAGCAGACGGATCTTATGAACCGCATCCTGGTCTGTTGCCCGCAAAGCAAGCGGGGGGTCAGTGGAGCGCAGGAAGCCCCAGATGAGGATGGCCAGCAACCTGGCAATGTGCTGCCCGGAACCGACACATGCGGATTCCTATTCGGTGATCGCATTGTTGGTGGTACCAATACGACGCTCTGGGAATTCCCTTGGATGGTGTTACTTCGGTATAAAAAACGTGAGTAGATTAATTCAAAAGGTCATTTCTTATTTTGAAAAGTAAATAAGTAGGTTATAAATTATTAAATAAATGAGGCATAGCACAATAAATATGTTTGCTTTCAGTGTTTTCCGAAACTTATAGTTTCAATTGCGGCGGCGCCTTGATTAACTCCCGTTACGTTCTGACCGCCGCCCACTGCTTGGCCAGCGATGATCTGGATAAGTCAGGATTAGTCCTGAACAGTGTTCGCCTGGGTGAGTGGGACACGCGCACCGATCCCGACTGCCAAACCCAGACCAATGGCAAGCGCGTCTGCGCCCCCAACAGCATCGACATAGAGGTGGAGAAGGCTATCCTCCATGAGCAGTTTGTGCCCAACTCAGTGGATCAGAGGAACGATATCGCGCTGCTTCGACTCAAGCGAAGTGTGAGGTAAGCGGGTCATAGCACATCCTTCACCTTCCAAATGCTTAACCCAAAGTATTTCCTGTCCACAGCTTCACCGATTACGTGCGACCCATCTGCTTGCCAACCAGCGAGGAGCTGCGAAGGAACCTATTCGTCGGCTACACCATGGATGTGGCCGGCTGGGGAATCACCGAGGATTTGCTGCCCAGTCCAATCAAGCTGAAGATCTCTGTTAGCGTGTGGAACCTGACCGAGTGTCAGGACAAGTACACCACCTTCCAGGTGCACTTGAACAACTCGCAGATGTGTGCCGGCGGCCAGTTCAAGGTTGATACCTGTGGCGGAGATTCCGGCGGACCATTGATGGCATCCATAAACACGGGCGGCGGTCGTGAGGTCTTTTACATCGCCGGCATTACCTCCTACGGTACCCGACCGTGCGGCCTTAAGGGCTGGCCAGGCGTCTATACCCGCACCGGAGAATTTATTGATTGGATACAACAGAAATTGGAGGCATAATAAATAAAATTGCTAATTTATTCACATATTCGCATTGGCTAGCTTACACTATTACGTACACTGTGCAGAAGGGGGGCACGACGGGTAGACTAACTAAGCTAAGCTCTAGTGGAATGCCAATATAAACAGAGATTCGGGCACAGACATCGGAACAATTCACTAGATACAAAGATGCTCGGGTAACTTTTTGAGCTTGCAACTAAAATATAAATAAAATTTACCAAGATTACATTCGGTGCATGTTAGCGCTATAAATATATATATGAAGCGTATTAACATGTTCCGTTTTGTTTTCTTTTTTTCATGAAAAAATAATAAGCAATAAATTTAGAAAATTCATTTAACTAACAGGCTGGCTTTGTGCCAACAATTCGAGTGGAGAAAAATTCGGCATTTAAGATTGGGTATAAAACGCTGCGGCAAAAGTCTTGAGTTCTTCAAATAGGCACCAAATTTCACAGGCAGAATGAACGGCACTTAGACCTCCTCCGGAGCTGCACGCGGCGCAATTCCCATTCCAGCTGCAGCTGCCATTGCTGCCTCGATGCCGTTTTGTTCACTCTTCGCCGGAATTGCCCCCAAAGCTGCTAGCTCGCTCTGCAGTTGGGCCAGCACTCCTTTGAATACAACGCAGAAACCACGGCTGCAGGGAAGGAGCGGGAATTCTGGCATCTCGCAGCAGGTTCCCTTGAACTCTTCGGGCATATCTGCGAAAAATGTAATAGTAAATCACCAAGTTTTCTCAAGTTATCCCTGAAGCTAACCCTTGATACTGGTTATGCGCTGACGCTGCGCCTCCGCCGAGTACTCCGACCAGGCCTGCATGCGTCCAAACAGCTCGCCGCCATACTCTTTAAAGTGCTCAATCAGTTCGTTGCGGAAAATGGGCGGAGGATTCGTCAACTGCTTGACCGTGGAGCGGGCAATCTTAATGATGGCCATCTCGTTGTAGACGCGAGAGTTTTCATTGCCCAGCTGGGTGCCTCTTTGCTTCTCGTAGCCCGCCTCGTTATAGTAGGGCTCATCGACCAGTATGAGACCCTGTATGGAGACGAGCACCTGCAGCATGGTGCTGCTGGGGGACCAGACCTCAGTGTCGCGACCCGACCAGGTGCCCAGCAGCGACACACAAACCTTGCCCTCCTCGTACAGATTCGGGTTGAGCCGCGCCGTGCAATAGCTGATGTAGTGGCACACGGGCGGGTTCTTCGGATAGTCGCGGCCCATTTGGAAGTCGAAGAAAAAAAGGGCATTCTGGTAGGGCGTACGCTTCGGACCCACCATCATGACCGACATTAGGTCCATGCGATCCTCGTAGGCACGTACCATCACGCCGGGCGGCAGTGAGGCCTGCAGCATGCGGTATTCCCTTTGCACTGCCCGCTGATAATAGGCCTTGTTGGCGGGGGCCACCATGTGTCCGAAGAAGTGGTGTGTAGCTGGTGCATTGGGTAGCACTTGGAAACAATCGTCGGCAGCGAGTGGAGTTGGATCGGAGACTATGGCTAGCGAAGGCGATGAACAGGCCATGGGACTGTCCACAGACGGCAGCGACTCGGACAGGACATTTAGATTCAAGGGCTGCTCCATGGCTTCATCCATTGTTTCTGTACCGACGGATCTCATCTCTGTGTCGGCAATCTCAGTGGCTGCTTCTTCCGCATCAAATATAACTATAACAGAGGTATCGGTCTTGGCTTTGAGTTTGGGGGAATCCTCCAGGGATTTGCGACACTTCATCATTTGATCCGTGATCTGACGCCAGAAAACCTCGCACGCATCAGGACTTTGATTGTCAATCAGTTCGATTGTAAAGTCACATAGAGCTTTCCTGTCGCTTAGCCGCTCCTCGCCCATGTCCTTTTCATCGCTGCAAGGATTATTTAGATCATCCGAGGTGTTCTCCCCGCGCGAATGGACGCCGGAATCATTCTGAAATACATTACATTTTTGGTTAATCTATGTATACTAATCCCCATCTATGTATTATTCTTACCTTGCCACGATTCTCAAAGGCCTTTGCAATGCTGGCACGCGAAGTCTCCAGCATTTCAGCATATTCGCTGCGATATTGATCAATGAGCTTGTTGGGGACCATGTCCTTCTCTTGCTCGGTGTACTCGTTGGTCATCTCAAAGGAGAATAGATTATCTTCATGAGTCTCATCCGTACTCTTTTTGCACTGAACTTCCTCCAATTCCGTTGATGACTTTCTCTTCGTTGGCGTCGACGTGGACTGACCCTCAACATACAAAACAGGCTTAATATTGGTTGGAGTTTCAGGCAAGTCGGACCCTGACTTGGGAGATGATTTCTCATCATGTTCCGACACGGAGCACTCAAGACACTTGTTGGTGAACTTGATGATATTCTTAAAGTTCTCCTCTTGAAAGAAGTGGGTCTTCAGCATATGGTCTAGGTATCGACAATTTGAGTACACGGACACCAGGTCATTAAGCACATCCGGCTTGCGGCGTTCGGGAAGGATGCGGAATATCTTTTTTAGCTGCATCAAAGCCTCCATTGCCCGATCGATGCCAATTATGAGCTCTTCGTTGTCTGTCGACGACGACATGTTTTCGCTGACACCAAGGCGACTATTTTCCGATTGCGTCTCCCAGGAGTCATCGGATGCATCTGATTCGTAGCCTCCTGGATCGGTGTGATTGATCTCAAAGAGATCCTGGGGATAGCATTTGGTGATGTGACCCTTGGCCCACCAAACGCGGACCCGCCCGTCGGGATAATTGTCAATCACCTGGCCAGCAGTTGAATCGACGTCCTCGCCGGTGAAGTTGGACACGCGAATGACCATGGTGCCTGGTCGGAACTGGTAGTCTGAGTGATCCTTGAGATCATATACACTCAGCTCCTCCGTCTCTTTGCACAAAGGACTAAAAAGAATCGTTGATGTAATGATACAATGAATAAAGTGGAATTACTTACATTGGATTATCTACGTTGGTGTATATATTGAACCATTTGACCTTGGCGATGCGCTCGTCGTGGTCCACACATTGTATGACCCCGTAATCTGTTGTCCCGGTGGTATTCTCATTGGCTTTGCTTACGAAATCGCCCGGGAAGAACTCGTGGTCGTCCAGATGATGGATCGGATACAGTTGCGTGGAATGAATGCCCACCTCGACCACCCCATCCTGCCAGACAACCGTCACCGTGCTGTAAACGACCAGCGTCTCCACCACGATTTCATCGCCATCCTTGGGGTTCATCTCTTTCTTGACGAAGGGCGATGTGATCATTTTCTTCACACTCTTCAGCTTCTTTTTCATATGCCGCCGCTTGGCATAGCGCATGGTGGTTCTTGGTGTTTGGGACGTGGTACTAACGGCAGCGGCAGTGGATGCGGCCATCTCTGCAGCTTCGCCAGATAGTTTCTCGGAAACCGCAGGGAGCGACTCTGGCTCCTGCTCATCCTCATCTTCGTCATCCTCCAAGGTCTCCCAGATGTCGTCATTGCGACCTGATCGAAACTTTATTCCAGATGAATTCCCACTAGCTTTAAGTGAAGTGTTGGCATTGGCGTTGGAGTCGTTGTCCTGGTCAGCCGCTGGGCGTTGCGTGCGCATGCCACTGAATTTGTTGGCGAGGCGCCGAAACTTGGGCAGATTCCGGGTGTTGCTACTGCTGGATGCGACCGGAGTGGTCGAAACGTTAAGCTTGCTTCCTATCAGATCTGGTCTATGATGGCGATTAAAAATTGAGGTGTATTTAACCGCTGAAATTGGATGATTAATTGGTTTGTTATTCATTTATAATTGATATTCTACCTTGCGCATCCTCCCAGTCAGTGTATTTAACTAGTTTATCACATTTTGAATACTTGAGGTAGAATCGATCGTGAATTTGCAGCATATAGGATTCGTAAATGTTGAGGCGTTTTACTTTGGTTAGGTCTTCGCCTTTAATGACGGTCTTCGGGTGCCTTAGTGGATCAATATCTTTGGCATTCTCGAACTGCGAAATGGCCCTGCAGGTCCAGGCCACGGTAATGGATGAGGTGTCAATGGATTCCACGGTGTACTGCAAAGATAAAAAAAGAGGTTTTTATTACTTAATATAATATAGCTCATATTTCTGTACATTATATTCTGTACATTATATATATATAAGTAACGTGATACTTTGTATATGAAATCGTCAGGTGCAACTATTCTTACCACGGCACGCCCCTTTCGATTGGCAGGTAGGGCGATCTCCGGTGTCAAATTCTTGACGCGATTGGCGGGAGGCAAGCGACCGACCACCAAGTTGCCCCTATAATAGACATTGGGATTGAAGACATCCCGGGTAGTGCCGGAGCCCACGGCATCTTTGAATTTGTGGAAATCAAACGAGGTGATTTCAAGACGGGCGCCGTTAGCGGATCTGCAAGAAATTTAGATATCAACAATGGCCGAAAAAAATATATTTAAAGGCTTACTTGAGGACCGCACTTTCGTCCACTTGAACTGTGGTGCCTATCCAGGTGCCAAGGCACACGGCCAGTTCTCTTGACCATTCAGAGATGGGACGCAGCCGCTCGGCTGGCACGTTCCTGATGATATACTTGGAACCCAGCACCTTGACATCCGCGCACACGTTCACGTCACGGACATAGCCCGCCTGGCCAGTGAGATCCTTCTGGCCGGGCATACGCCTGCGGACTATATCGCCCGGCATAAGGGTTCTGTCGGCCAGTCCAAGCTGCGCCACATGGTTCCGCGTCAAAAAAGAAGAACAAATAAGCACGTGTCAGTGCCGAAAATGAAAACACAAAGAACAAACGAAAGAAACAGTTGTCCAAACACGACAAATAACCGTTAGTCGAGGCCGTTACATAACCTCAACGGTGAAGGTTTACTCACCGACTGTTCCGTTTGCACCATCTCCTTGCCGTCTGGGTAGAAGGCCACGCGCACCTCGCCCTTGGACAGAACCTCGTCGGGCACATCGTCCTCGTCGGACGAGTACGACTCGGCCGTTTCGGTGACCACACCGAAATGGACGCGACCGCGCCGGTCTATGCGGAACACTTCGTCCTCGAAGAAGTACTGGTACTCGTGGTTGCCTGTCTGGCTCTTGGACGGAGCCTGGCCGCCGCCCGTGCGCCGTGAGTGTCCAGCATGACGGGCCTCCAGGGACGAAGGCGTCTTCACCTGCCCCTGTGCCTGCTCGTGTGCGGCATTAGGCGTTGCTGGCTGTGGAGCAGCGGCCTCCTCGGATGGAGGCGGCTGCTGCTGAAGCTCTGGGGCGCCACCGACATCACTGGCAGCACCCGCCACATGGCTCGACATGTTACCAATGGTGAACTGATGGCATGGGAGGATAAATCAATGCGCGTTTGCAACTGGGAGTCCCCTAGTCTTTGGTAATTCGCGTGGCGAATTCTTATTCTTGGAGTCTTTCTCGCTCTCTTTCTCTCGCTTTTTCTTCAGGTTACAACTAACTGTAACAGGGATGCACTGCGGTGCGTTTGGGACTCGCGCGGAGCACACACATCTAATTTGTACGCCTGACTAATAATTACAATTTAATTGGGTAATTTTGCCGACTTCTTTGAAAAACTATAAATAAAACAGTCAAATCTACAAACAAAACGAGAAACGGAGCACAAGCGAATCGCCTGCTACGGTGGAGAATCGATGCCAAACAATCGATGTCATCGATGTTGGTACACCTCTAAAGCGCGATGAGCCTTTTTTCTTGGCTATAAATTTGCTATTTTACTTTAGCTAGTTTTAAAAACTAAATCAAATGTCTGCAATGAACAGAATATGAATACTAATACCCTAAATATATAATCTAACGTGACTGAATTGTGTTCGTTATATTCCTTAATATTATTTTAGTTTCAGTTTAGCAGGCTAGCCTAGTGAGACGCATACAGGCCGCCAGTTTGATTAGCTCGGTTGACCACATATATATTTAAAAAAAAAACACTTTAAAATTTATCACACTAAGTGATTTTTGAATAAAAAACATATCAGATTGCTATTTTTTTTAAATTGTAGCTATTTTTGGCTATTTTTCTTAGCCCTCCCAGCGTCCAATAGTTGGCAACACTGTACAGAACACCTGATAGGTCGTTATCGATTGGCAAATATCTAACTTTTTGGATTGCCGTTAAAAAAAGAAAAATTAAATATTAATATCTTACAAATTTTGAACACAACACTTACAAAAGAATTTTTTTTTATGTGGTATTCAATTTAATTTTTTGCCGTCACGCCATAACAAATTTTTGAAATATAAGGCTAGTTTTGCAACGAATTAATCATACCCCATACCCTTAAATAAATTAAAAATTAGAATAATTCATAATATTTATATTTGACCACTTACCCAGTATCTTATGCTACAAATTTGAAATTTACATTTTACATTGAGTAACGGTAAAGAGAATTTCGAATGATTTTACGATTTTAAAGCGCCAGATTTTTTTAATTTCTCCAATTCTTTAATTCTCTGATTTTCTACTTTCCCTAATTTAAATTTTAATTTGATATTCACTTCGGCGCTGAAAAGGCCGCAACAATCAAAATTGCTAAGAAAACGAGCATAATTAAAATGAACAATATTGAGCACACAAAACAAATAATCCTCATTAAAAAAATTTACAAAAACTGATTCGCTTAATAATTAAAAAATATAAAAAGCCCAAAATTTCCTTTTTAAGTGACCTTGCTGAATATACATATAATTAAAAAAGAGTTGATAAAAAATCCAACGTCTACGCTGTATTTGTATTTAAGAATGCCATAGAAATAATGAATTTTATATCTATAGCAAAGGCTTTCTAAGGTATGCACAAATGTAAGATTTATTCTTTTATTACCCCCTCCACATTTATAAACCTACCCAAATGGTCATTAGATTAAAACAATTTTATTCTTAAATTTTGAACATTTTTCTAATATTGCAGCTCTACATGTTGTCACATCTAACTATCATTGGCGGGGCGAACTGGGAGTGGCGGAGACCGAAGGAGTAGCCTGGTCCGCTCTTGCCAGGACGGTAGTACATTAGGTCGTAGTAGTTGGGCCCAGGACCGACGTTTTCTCCCCGGAGATTCGTGCGGGGCTGCATCGAGTACACTGGAGCACGGTTTAGCTTCACATTAATGTCGCCGGCAGCATAGGCGGCCGGACCCGGCGAGTTGGTCTTCATGTTTGTCTTGGTTTGCATGCCCCTGCGATCGAAGGTTTAGAGGAGCATTAGCAAATGGCCTAAGTCTCTTGGCCCGAACTACTTACATGCTGTATTTAGGCACCCCAGGACGAACAGCATGCACCTCGTACTTGTAGGCATTGGGGCCGGGACCGTCCTTTTTGAAGTTCAAGTCCGTCCGCAGCCCCATCGAATAGGATGGAGCTTGGGTACCCGTGAAGAATGGCTTGGTGTGGTTATCATGGGCTCCGGGACCAGGACCGCTTCGCTCAACTGTAGCAATAATATTGTATTACGTGTTTTATTTCCTAGTCTGGATCCACTCACCTGGAATGGCTGTCCTGGGAGCCATCGAGTACTCTAGTCCCTTGCTGTTGCCATAGCGGGTAAGCTTGTCTACCTTATAGGCGCCCGGACCAGGACCCATCTGTTCTCCGACCAACGCGGAGCGCACTCCAAAGGAGTACTGCGGCATACGTTGTTTTCGGTTGTCATGCTTGTCGTATCCGTATGTGGGTGGTAGCATGTAAGCGCCGGGTCCAGGGCCTTGAAAGGATACGGACACGGATGCGGATTACTTTCCGCATCTTAATAGTGGTTATACTTCACTTACCTAAAGGTCGCACCGCCATTTTTAGTTAGTTTTGTGCAATATTAGAAAAATATATTACTGAAAATTTTGAACTCGTTAAAGAGATGTATGCCGAACGGATTCTATCTACAAAATGAGGCTTCCATAGCCCCGACATAGCATATCCAGGAAAAATCAAAAGCAAGGCTTACTTTAAAAGAAAAAATAATGGGTTTCAAAAGTAAACTTTTTAAGTTTACTTAAGAAATATTACCAACAAAATGTTAAAGAAACTTAAGGAAACATGGCTGTGATTTTAAACTAACAATTTTTAAATGGGTTTTCAATATTTTATTATTATATTCACAAATATATTCTTTAAAGCAAATTTAAAAGGTTCAGATTATAAAAAGGTACAATTTCCAAACCAAACTGGATTTTTATGCAAGTTTAAAAATTTTGATTATTCAAATAAATTATATTAATATTATGATAATGTGATTTTGGTTCAAGGAGATTCGATTTTGTAATGGAAAAGTATTGTGTGATTATCCTTTTTAATGGGTTTCTAGAAATCAGCTCGAAATATATTGCTTAAAGTGAGCCCTAGGAACGCCCAAAATTGGACACTCAAGAAGTAACTCTCTGCACATTGCTTGAGATTTTGTGAAGATCTGGACAGAGGAGCTTATTCCACATCCATTGAGTTGTACAGCTGCTTGTATCGAGATCCACCTCCGCTGCTTTGGAGCAACATGTCATTGTGTTGCTCCCTCAGGGCCTGTAAATATCACACACACGTAAATAGAAGTGCATTTTGAAAATATTATTAATAATATCCAACCTTGGGATCGTATTTCTGGTACAAATACACCAGAATGGGGCCATAGATCATGTTGAAAATGCCCACGATCCGCATCAGCCAGGCGAAACCAAAGGTCTGGGCCAACTCACCTCCGATCAGGGGAGCTATAAAGTGAATATTATGTTCTATGATATCCCAAAAATATCAATTTTATGGCTTAGTTACCCAGACAATAGGCTAAACTAACGGAGGTCTGTTGGATGGCGTAGACAGTGCCGTAGCTGGACATGGAGCTGCTGCCCTCGCTGTGCTCCTCCTGGGAAAGCGTGGCATCCACAAAGGTGGCCAGCAGGGGGACAAGAGCTGCATCGATAACTCCTATGCCTAGACCCAAGGCGAAATGGGGGAGTAAAAGTTGGGCAACAGTTGTCGCACTGGGGATCTGTAGGAAATTAAAAAAATAAGAGGTTTAGAATATATTTTTAAGTATTTAACTCACCAGAATGGAGGCTACTCCCACCAGCAGCAGACTAATGCAGGACACCTTCACCTGCCCGTATTTATAGGCGATGCTGCCAAAGAAATTGGTGCCCACAAAGTAGCCCACCGAATCTGGTATGAAGACGGTGCCCAGCTGCCACTTGTTGGGCTTCAGATACTGGATCAACCAGATGGGCAGGCATGGCTCCAGCATGGCCATCGTGGAGGTGGAAAACCATATGGCCAGCACAATGGCCAGGATCATTTTGCACTCGAGGAGGGGTCGCCACTTTGGAGTTTCCTCCACCACCACCTCTGGCTGAACGGACAGATCCATGGTCAGCAACTGAAGACCCAGACTCAGGAACATCAGCGTGGAGAGGATGATAAAGGGCGCTGACTTGCCCATCAGATCGTACAGGATTCCACCGAAGGGATAGCCGAGCAGCACGCCCAGTGCTATACTACCCAGGATGATGCCCATCACCTTGGAGCGCCTCGCCTCCTCCGGATAGTGCTGGGCCACCAAGCTCATGCCGCAGATGTTGATGCAAGCCGAGCCCACGCCCTGAATCGCTCGGGCCACCAGGAGTGCCCAGTAGGTTTCGCCAATGGCAAACACTGAAGAAATTGAATAAATTAATAAGAAAAGTTCGTAAATAATAATAATAAAATAATATTAAATATGCCCATGAAACCATATATTTCACCTTCAAAAATAAAATTTATCTATTCAAGTTCCCATCCCATTGCATCCCATTGACCCAAAATTTCAATTACGCGCTCGATGAGATGTCACCCAATCTCATATGGCCTTCGTGGCTTTTATGGACCCACTTTAAAATAGATCACTCACCCAGGGAGGAGAGGAGCAGAAAGAAGGTGCCGACCACAATCGGTAGGCGGTAGCCAAACTTGCTGGACGCGTTGCCTACAATCGGATTGAAGATTAATTGGACGAGGGCCTTCATGGCCAGCAGCAGGCCAATGGAGCCGTTCTCCTGCGTCAAGGTCAGTTCCTTGTTGTCGGGCGGGGCCGCCACCTTGCGGCTTCTGCTCCTGGACGAATTAGTGCCAGCCGACTGGCCGTCTGAAGGCTTCAAAAGCGAAATTGCGGATGTGGGTTTTGAGGTGGAATTGTGCATGAAAGGAGGCAGAGTCGTGGTAGAAGTGGCCGCCTCTGTGGACAGCTGGAACAGGGTAAAATTGACCATCGATTTGCCGGGTATAGGATGCTTGGCAATATACAGCTGAGGATGACCACCTGGCGGGGACTCTGAGCCCCTATACACGAGCTTCGAGGACGGGGATGTGTCCTCCACACTAAGCACGATCGGTGAAGAGGAATCCGACTCCAGGCCGGCCAAGTAATCCGGCAGAATGGGCACTGCAAATGCGATTGTTATCGTTTATTACCGCGCTTATCTGTAATTGATTTTGGGCTGTTACCAATTACGGTTAGCAGCATGTTATCTAGCAGCAGGGCCAGGTAGACAATCACGGCAATCAGGCAGCGATTGGAGGAGCCATTAGCCTGGGGCGTGGAGCTCCGTCTGCCCGCGGCATTTAGCTGGGCAGCTGCCTGTATTTGTGCCTGGGGCTGGGACTGGGCCTGCGATGGTTTCTGGCATTGGGACTCTGACCGAGCGTGGGTCTGACCACGTGGTGACTTCTCCGACATGGCAAGCTCACTTTTGGCTAATTGAACACACGGATAGCGCCAATTTAGACTGCCATATGGCAGGAAAGTGCCTCTCGATTCGCGCCACAAAGTATGCCCCGAGCTGTATCTACACACGCAGCGAACCGACTGTCAACAGGTGGTGCTGCCACAACGACGTATGTGCGAATATTGAAAGCCAGCGACAAGTTGCTGTTCTATTTTATTGGCAGCACGCGAGCCGACCCGAGAGCCGAACAGATGGCCAAAAAGGGAAAACACGACGGCATCCAGCCAGTCAGTCAGGCATCCCTTCCCCTCTGGACCCCTTTCTGTGGCATTTTCTCTCTTGTTTGCATTGAACATGACTCCGGATACTATGAATGTCTTTAAAACATAGTTTTTCAATGAAATATTATTAAATAATTTAGAGGGTAGTTTCTGAAACATATATTATAAAAGAATATTAAGGTAATGATAACCAAAAAAGCTGTATTTCCCTTTTATTTAAAACTAATAAATTTAGCATAATAAACCTCAAGAACACATTCATGGGCGGCTCGTAGTAAATTATACTTCATATACATAAACATTAACAACAGAAGTCTGTCAAGTAAATAATAAAATAAACAAATAAAAATTGGACTTATTACAATGAAACCAGATGTAATATTTAAAGTAGTTGTATATTTAAATTCTTACTGCTTTTAAAATGATTAAATCTATTTATATAACCCTTTAGTGCCTTTATATATTCCCCATTAGAGCATTAAACGACCGTTGCTATCCCCCAGATATTTGTCAGCAGTTTCCTATTGAACTGGTTATAGTTTTTGTTGTTAACACATCGAGACACACCCACATATATGGCTTTAAAGCTTTGGCCATGTCATGGGAGTCTGTATTATTAGCACCATGAATGGCGTCGTGCCCCAAGGCAAGAGAGATGGGGAGATTAAAGCCATTGCAATGGCTTAAAGACCCGGCCGAGCGAGTGTTCGCCGCTGCCCCGATAAGCAGGCTATGGATTTTCAGCCTTTAGTCACATTTTCCATTTCATTGCCTCTTCTCGCCGTTTAAATTTAGTCCCGACAAATTTGTGACGGATTGCCAGGCGCCGAGCTCTAGCTTTTAAGGGAAAAATTGATTTTATAAAAAAGGGTGGGTGGCATGGTAAACACGATGATATTGATCTATTTATAGCCAAGATGTGGCATTAATAACCGAAGATTAGTTAATCCATGACCAATCCATGAGTGGACACCTGTCTCTTTTTGTAGAATCGGCATTACCAGTCACTAATCTCAGACCAGCGATTTGGCTAATCTAAAGTAAGTATCCCCATTTGGGTGATTAGATTGCTTGCTTCTAAGAATGCCTGCTCAACCGTTTAGTAAGTAAACAATTGTTATTTAAACCATATGTGTATATATTTGGACACCTTCCTTCACTTTTCTAACGACGATTGTGCGGACTGAAAATCGAGAAATCGTTTTGCCCTGGCCGGCCATACCGCGTGACATTGCCCAGATGATAGGCAGCTGGTCCAGGTCCTTCAGCTTTCCTTACGGAGGTATTGCAGGACCTTGAACTTGTTCCAAAGCTGAAAACCGGACTCCTTTGCATCCTCTTGTCGCAGTTCTTAGGACCGAACGTGCTGGGCAGGCTGTAGGCGCCAGGTCCGGGTCCTTAAAAAGAATATGAGAATATTACCTTTAGTTAAGTTTTTCTTTATACAAAAAATTACCAAATGATCTTCTGCAAGACATTTTCTGGTTCTAAGAACTCTTTAAAATTTAAAAATTTTGAATAACTCACAAAAGAGCTGCTTGCCGAACGGGATACAACCTTAAAATGGGAAAGTCTGGGCTCATCTTGCAAACCTAAAGCTAAAACTGAAATCAAGGCCCAGTTGATGGTAAAACGGATTCAAATCTTTTCCTATAATTCCCACACTGGAAACCTAATGATTAGCTGATTGCTTAGGCCTTATCTGGCTTACTTCCTGTCAAACGCCTTGTCTTGGCCACTTGCCGGGGTACCCCAAGTGGCCAGATAAGCGGCCAAGACCGCCTCCACCTGGAACCTGCTTTAACGCGAGTGGCCTCAGTTGGCTGCCAACGACTGGAGCGAACGGTCTATTTGAAAAATGTTTGGCAGCAGAGGGATCTTGGCGCTTGGAGTGCTGCTGCTGATATCGGTTATTGGTAAGAGGCCATTAATCCGGGTCATAAAACGAATTTACAATCGAAATTCCCCTTGCAGGTGGTCAAGCTGAGTCTATCCCCTGCAAACTAAAGGATGCGGACCACGGCAAGGTGTGCGTCTGCACAGCGGACTATTGTGACTACTTGGAAAACCCCATCCTGACGGAGGACAACGAGTTCGCTTTGATTTCCAGCTCCAAACTGGGTTTGCGGTTCGCCACTTCCAGTGGAAAATTCGGCACGGAGGAGAAGTTCACGGTGCCGGACTATGTAGAGCCCGCTCCGGAGGCTGTGAATGCCACAATCCTTTCCCGCCTGCTGGACAAAGTGGTGGCTAGTGCCTTTACTTTGGACAGCCGAGAGAGCTCCATTACTCGCTCGGTGACCCTGCAGTTGGACCGAAGTAAGACCCATCAGAAAATGGTGGGTTTTGGAGGCAGCTACACCGGGGCTGTGACCTATCTGGTGGAGAACTTTAAGCAGCCGGAGCTGGCCGATCATCTCTACAAGTCTTTCTACGCGGAAGAGGGTGCTGGCTTTAACCTGATGCGCGTCTCGATCGGCGGCTGTGACTTTGACCTCGAAGCCTGGGCCTATGCCGAGGAAGAGGGCAACACCCAACTCTCCGGCATGGATGAACTAGACGCACGGGACGTGGAGCGCGTGGCTCAGATCAAGCGTCTCGTTGAGGTTTCCGGGGTGAAGAATCTTTTGGTCAAGGGAGCCGCCTGGAGTGCTCCGCCTTGGATGAAAACCAATAACAAGTGGACCGGATTCGGACGCCTCAAGCGGGACTACTACCAGACCTGGGCCGACTATCATCTCCGCTGGATAAAACTAATGGAGGACAACGGTATTCCCATCTGGGCCATTTCCACGGGCAATGAGCCGCTCAACGGCATATTTTTCATGTTTTTCGTGAAGTTTATGAGCATGGGATGGACACCGCAGACGCAGGCCATTTGGCTGAACGATTACCTGGGCCCCGCGATCCGTAACTCCGAGTTCAAGGACATTATCCTCTTCGGAAACGACGACCAGCGGTACTCCTTTCCCCACTGGTTCAAGATGGTTAGTTTTTCTGATAGAGCGTATTTTTTTTCCAAGAATCGAATGATGTAATTAGCTTTAATTAGACATCAAAGTTCATATTCCTTATCGCCTCTATTTTCAGATGAACTACACTCGGCCCAATTCGATTGATTATCTTGATGGATTAGCGCTGCATTGGTATTGGGATGAGATTTTCGGCAACAGCTTTATTGAGCAAACCAAGGCATATGTCCCGGACAAGATCATGATTGTGTCAGAGTCCTGCATCGGTGATAAGCCCTGGCAGGCGGCTGCTCCTCTGCTGGGTAGTTGGGAGAGGGCTGAGAAGTACGTCCGCGACTATTTGGCCAACATCAAGCTGGGCTTCCATGGCTGGATTGACTGGAACATATGCCTGGACGAGGCGGGTGGGCCGAACTATGTGGACAACACTGTTGATGCTCCCGTTATCGTGAATACCACAAGTAAGTAGAATCTATGTTTTGTAGTCTTTAAGTAAGAATTACACAAAATAATGACTTCCATCCTTGCAGCCTTTGATGAGTTCTACAAACAGCCCATGTTCTACGGCATTGGCCACTTCTCCAAGCTGGTTCCTGAGGGTTCTCTGCGGATTGATGCCATTCCAAGTAACGTCAATCTAGACACGGTGGCCTTCCTGCGCCCGGACAATAAAATTGCCGCCGTTCTATTCAATAGCGGACGCGCTGATCTGGACATCTCGGTGGTGGACAGTGTTCGGGGCAAGTTCACCGTGAATATTCCAGCCAAATCCATTCACACTTTGCTGTACAATTAAACAAAGTTACGAAATAAATTTGGTTTAAACTTAAATGATTTTTTTATGATTAATATATAATTTATTTATAATTAAACAATTATTCTAAGGGTTATTTAATTTGCAATTTGAAATAATATGTTTAGCGCCTTTATATAGAAAATACGTAATTATAACAGATTAATATTTACAAAGACATTACTTTATTTACCTGGTAAACTTTTAATTCAGAATTAAAAATGGAGGATTTTTGTGAAGCAAGTGTGGTGAAATATGTTATCAAAATGCGAATAGTTTGCTTTTGTTCTATAGTTACAGTCTTGTAGGTATACTTTTAGGCATTTTTTACGTGTAGTAATAGTACAAAGTGCAAGAACGAGCTTTTTTAAATAATTTTAACGTAACATTCAGGTAATCAGAGAAAAGGATTGTCACAGGTACAACAACCGTTTAGATATGTTGAGGGGATCTACTTCCACCTTTCCACTTCTAATGATTACACGAATAATATTTAATTAAGCTAAATAACTTTCAATATTATTGCGATATATGAAAAAAAAACAAAAAGACAGAAACTTCGGGAAGCCCAAAGCCAAATTCGAAATCGTTTGTAACTAAGCCAATTCCAAGCAAAAATATAAATACAGCGATTTGACTTCTTATTTTAAAAGATTCAAATTAAATTAAATTAATAAAGCCTATATAAAAATATAACAAATTTTATTTTGCTATTTGTTGAATGAACCCCTTCTTTTTTCCCACTCCACCTCTGGCTTTGCATAACTTTTACTTTTGATTGCGTGCGCCGATTTCCAAGTGGGATCAGCTCGACTGCCGGCCATAGCAAGTTGCTTTATCAAATCAAAACCAACAGCCAGGCCCCCGGGTCAAGTGGCCCTGGTAAACATACAGAGCAAGCTGAGCGAAATTCGGTGGCTCGTTCAGAGAAACGACAGTCCCAGATCGAGCCGCTCTCATTCCGAGCTCAGTTTGCGAGGTGCCTTCGCTCGAGCCGCATCGTTCGGTTGGAAGGGCAAAAATGATTCACATTTGGCATTGCTTTCTTTTTGCACTGCTCGCGATCAGGGCAGGTGAGTGAGCTACAGATTGCATCTACCTGAAATATTAAAAAACCATATGTATTTGTACTTTACAGGTACCTCCGCTCAGCAAATGCCCTGCGATTTGCGCGAGACGAGCCATGGGAGCGTATGCGTCTGCAACAGCACCTACTGCGATTACCTGGAGCAGCCGGAGATCACTGATAGCAATCAGATTGTGGTGATCAGCTCCAGCAAGGTGAGTCAGCAGGATTGTTTACAGTTCAGATCAATACACCAGCGTTATCAGGCCTGCTTGGGTATTGTTTTCAAGAAGACTTGTCGACTCAGCTCAGCTTTAAACCCTCAATTGAAATAAAAAAAATATACATATTTTATAAACAAATTTTTATGCAGGATGGCTTGCGCTTCCAGAAGACAACTGGTGACTTTGCCAGCCAGAAACCCTTGGTGGTGGAAGACAAACAGTCCACGGATGAGAACTTCAAGGCGGAGGCCATTGTGGTGGATCAAAGCCGAGCCTGGTTGCAATTGGCCAACATTCCCCAGCGCCTTTGTAGATAAACAACTATCTCAAAAAATATATACAAATCTGATATTCTTCTCTATAATGCAGTTATCAACGCCAGTGTTCGGACTATTCGAGTAGTCGTAAATCGAGAGAAGCGTTTTCAGAAGGTTTCCAATTTCGGCGGGGCCTTTACGGGAACGGTATCCTATTTACTAAAGCAGTTGCGCCAGGAGCTGCAGGATCATGTCTATAAGTATAAACAAGAAACTGATATGGTAAACATGAAAAATAATACCCATTTCTCACTAGATCCTACTTCCATCAAGACGGAATTGCATACAACACCGTCCGCATGTCCATTGGTGGCTCCGACTTTGACTTGGAACCTTGGGCTTACAATGAGTGGCCTCGCAATGATCTACAGCTGAGTAATTTTACCCAACTGGATTCCAGAGATTTGCAGAAAATAGAGCAACTTAAAAGGTTAAAGGTCGTGGCGGAGCTAGATGAACTAAAGATCATGGGCGCCGCCTGGAGTGCCCCACCCTGGATGAAAACCAACGATCGCTGGACGGGCTTTGGCCAGCTAAAGACGGAATACTACCAGACCTGGGCTCTCTACCACCTCAAGTGAGACACCAGCCGATGCTCTTCCTATTTATGAAACATTTTATTTTGTAATCTTTGCAGATTCCTCGAACTCATGCAGGCTAAAAATATGCCGATCTGGGCCATATCCACGGGCAATGAGCCGCTCAACGGCGTCATTGGCTTCTTCTTTGTGCACTTCATGAGCATGGGCTGGACGCCCTGGCAGCAGGTACGAGCCATTACCCACTAGCTTTTGCTATTGGCCATCGATCACGATTCCGGCTATTAAGCATCTCGACCTATTTTCGGTCAGGCTATTTGGCTGAGCGACAATCTGGGTCCGACCATCAGGAGGAGCTCGACGCAGAGCAAGGTGCTCATCTTTGGCAACGATGACCAGCGATACACGTATCCCTCGTGGTTCCGAAAGGTGAGTGTGGTCTGAGATTGGTATTTTACGAATATAAACCCCAATATATTCTTTAGATGCGCTCCTCCCGTAACAACTCCCTGTCCTACTTAGACGGCCTGGCTGTGCACTGGTATTGGGATGAACTGGTTGGCCCCCAGCTCATCGACCAGGCACATTTGGAGATGCCCGAGAAGTTGCTGCTAAACACGGAGTCCTGCATCGGGGACAAGCCCTGGCAGACCCATGGACCGGAACTAGGCAGCTGGCAGCGTGGCGAGAGCTACATGCGGGCGTACACCCAGGACATGAGGCATCATTTCAACGGCTGGCTGGACTGGAACCTGGTGCTGGACGAACGGGGTGGACCCAACTATGTGAACAACTTTGTGGATGCGCCGGTCATTGTGAATGCTACCAGTCGTCGGGAGATATACAAGCAGCCGATCTTCTACGCCATCGGGCACTTCTCCAAGTTCCTGCCAGCGGAATCGGTGCGCATCGAGGCGAGGATCGAGAACGAGAGCAATCCCTTTACCCAGCTGAGCGTGGTGGGCTTCCAGCGTCCGGACGGCAGTGTGGCTGTGATCGTCTACAATGGGTAGGTCACTGATTTTATTATTTCCGAGTTATTTTTGCGAGTGTGTATATCTATTTCGGGTTGCGTCTGCGACGGTGCCGCTTAAGTGCATCAACTTAATTGCCGACAACTTTGCGATTCACTTTTATGAATGTCCCTAATGGGTGCCGTGCCCTCCAATCTCCTTGCAGCCAGAACCTGCCAGTGGACGTGGCCCTCAATGATAGCCAGCGCGGTGTGATCGGCCTTCGGCTGCCGCCGCGCTCCTGGCACACGGTGCTCTACAAGTGAGGAGCGGGTTCCCTATCCGGTTCCAGGTCCCCTTCCCGGAACCCAAGTTGTAGTAATTTAGTTTAGAGTAGAATATAGCAGGAGTCCAGCTGCCGTTGGCGCTGCCCAGAGGACCAATTGAGGCTCAAGTGACATAGCGGCGACGCAGCGGAAGCCCATAAATTGTACCCTCAACAGGATGCTCGCAGGATAAGGGGTCTGCGAGGATGTAACGCCGGAGATACCCGCCGACGGAAATTTGTTTAAGCCGCTCAATTTGCCGGAACGCGTCTGTTTACAATGAAATTTCATTTGCCGTTTAATGCCGGCTCCTCCTTTATTTTATTTTACATTTTTCGGGGGGCAAGGAAACACGGCGAAGAACAAACGACATACTATATACTATATCGGAGCACATCTCGGATCAAGTTGAGTGACAACTGCCAGTCGAGCGGCAACGACGGCCAACCGAAAAAACATCTCAGTGCAGCTCTTGGGGTTTCGTCTATTTGTTCAATATGCTCTATAAATATGAATGTCAATTGAGCGCCAAGCAAATGCATTTTCCCGCTTTTCCCCGGCCTGGCCGCTTTCCCGCTTTCCCCAGCACTTGGCGCACAAAATGGGGCGTTTTATGTAAGTCTATAAATTAAAACATGAAACGTTTATAAACCCATATGACGACTGGTGGTTGTGGCAGCGTCAACTGCGGTGATGCGCTTCCTTTTTTGTTTTAAGATAAATTAAGAATATTATGCATATAAATATGTGCATTACTCTGAGGAAGAGTTCTGCTGATGCGAATCTGCCTGTGTGAAAGCAGGGGATTTTGAGAAACTAAATATATATTTAGGAATTTAATAGGGTTAGTATATTAATCCCTTTTGCAAATCAATGTAACAATTAAGTATCATTAGAAAGAATTGTATACGATTTTAAATTCGGCATTCCTTTTTCGTTTTATTATATCTTCAAAACTGAAATAAAAAATATTTTGCTTATTGTAATACATTTTTTATATGCATTTTTTTTTAAACGTGCCCAGGAAGACAGTGCTAAGTGGTTGGTAATATAATAAAAGAAATAATTGTCTTTAAAAACAACTGTATACATTTTATAATTAATATTTACTTTTCTTTATTTTGGCTGCACCATTTTAAGTGCTTAGTCTCCCCTAGGAGACTGTCTGCCGTCTTCACTAACCTAGCCTTAGCCATCAGTTTAATTGAATTTTGCAATTATAAATATATATAATATATGTATTTGGCGCATATTACAAGAAATATATTGAAATAAATTTTTATCCTCTCATCGAGATATTCATAAATTAAAACAAAGGCATTGAAGTACCAAACATATGCATTCCCCGGGTTAGCATACATATCTCAAGTGCTTACAGCAAAACACACTTATCAGCAATGAGCGTGTCAATTACATACCCCTGCCCCTGCCCCAGCACTTACCCTTTTTCCTCAAGAAAGTGCCAACATCGGGCAATGTGTTGAGTGCGCTGGTGCAGTGTTAATGAGGCTCATTATTAATATGGCAGCGATATGTTTGTGTCATGAGCATTGGGCGCTGCGAAGGGAATTTACACGCGCTGGCCTGTCAGCAGCGAGATCAAAGCACACAGCCTCCAGAGGAGACAGAGTCCTCCATGGCCATAATGTGTTATGAGTTATTGGAGAAGGAGGAGGCGGAGTGGGTGCAGTTGGAGCAAACTGATCCGCTTCCTGGCATCCAAGATCGCCAGCTTGTCAGCAGCTGACAGCGCCATGTCACAGCAATTTGCCCGTAGGTGTTCCACGTCAGACCGAACACCTACCCGGGGATGTCGGTGTAATGCCCTGTGACAGGCATTCACTCCGCTACTCAAATTGAATGCTCGCAGCGCAAACTGGATACTATTTAGCGTTTAGATTTATTTCGGGCATTAAATGCAGATCGCATTTCAAGAGCGGCAGAGAGTACTGATACACTGGAGGAAATAAATGAATATTCTTAGAGATTAGAATAAAAAAAAAAATTACATATTCTTGGCTACTTTGGTCACACGATCTTATAGTACAGATTGAGCTTCGCTTAAAAATTGTTTTCTACTTAAGAAATTTTTGATGTAAGTACTTAGAGCGCAATTTCTCCAAGTGCCTGCATTTCCCAAATGTCAACGAGATGGGCACTTAAGAGACTCTTGCAGACGGGCGCCGGATGTGCGCTATTATTCCCTCATAGAAGGCCCAGGCCCTCTCTTCTACCAAATCCCAAATCCCATTCCCAGGAGCTGGAGAAAAGTGCAAGTTACAAATGCGTGTAGATACAGGGCCCATGAAGCGATTGTATTTTCCCCAATTCGATTCGCCTGCCCGCGATAAGATTAGATTAGGAGGGACGAACCAACCCACATGGGATCGTGGGGGAAATAGGCAAATTAGCCAGTTATAGGTATCATAGCCCACATATTCGTGGCCCAAATGCTGTCAAACACCGCATAGCTGCCACCAAAATGCGACGTCCGCTCTCGCCGACCCTGGCCAAGCTGGCCGAGAAGGAGGTGAACGAGACACCCGACCGGATTCAGCAGGACATTATCATCCTGCGAGTTTGGATACGGCAGCAGCAGCATTTGCGCGCCCGCACGGATGTTGACTTCTTGATTGCCTTCCTCCGTCGTTGTCGGTATAGCTTGGAGGAGACCAAGCGCCGGATTGACCGCTACTTTACCCACTACAACCTATTCCCGGAGATCATGAATAACCGGTGTGTGACACAGCGACTGCTGGACATCAATCGACTGGGGTGAGTTGGAGTTAATTAATGAGACAATTGTTATTATTATTCCCTTTCCATTTCCTTTGTAGCGTGTGCCTGTATCCGGACATGCCCAAGGGCGACAGTCGAACTGCCATACTCATCGCCCGCTTTGGCCACTTCGATCCCAATCTGTATATGCTGCGTGAGATCTATCATTTCTCCTCGATGGCCATGGAGGTGATAGCTCTGGAGAATGACTATGCCTCGCTAGCTGGAATATGCGAAATAATAGATTTGGAAGGCGTCAATTCGGACAAGATGCGGCGCTTCGACAGGGTGCTCTTCCGCAAGTGGTGGAACTGGCTGTACAATTGCAGCCCCCTGAAGGTGAAGGAAATGTACATCATCAACATGCCCAAGGATATTCAGGGCACCGTCATGTTTCTCTACAACGTGCTCAGCATGCAGGTCAACTATCCGGTGGGTGTTACATTTAATTAAATAATTATTAAAGAAAGGGATTATAAAGACGTTTCCTAGATTCGCGTTCTGAAGAACAGCGAGGAGCTGATTGAGCACATTGGCAAGGACTCGCTGCCGGAGGAGTATGGCGGCACCAATGGCCACATGGGCGAATGCATGGCCTACATGGAGGACCTGCTGAACAGCTATCGCGGCTACTTCGAGCAGGACTGCAACTATGGCACCATCGAGGAGCTGCGTCACGGAGAGATTGCCACCTACGAGGCGGAGTTCGGAGCTAGCGGATCCTTTCGTCGCCTAAACTGGGACTAACACCAAATTTGTACCCGGACCCGGAAGCAGGAAGCGTCCCTTCCCTCGGATACCAATAGCCACATAAACATTCCAAGCTCCGCTGTAGAGTCGATCAATTAAAGATAACACCAACTTATCGCCTATCTATGCACTCGTGTATCTGTATCTTTATCCATGGGCCCTCGGGCTTCGTGATTCGGGTTGCCGTTCCAGCTAGTTTACAAGGTGTTGTTGCTGTTGCTCCGATAAGATAGCGCCAACGCCATCGTCACCACACCCAAGCAAAGCCAACCGCCGACCGCCTCTACTTGGTGGGTGCGTCAGTAGCTGCCGCATTCAGTTAGCATTAGAACGAGCGCCGGAATGGCGACCACTTTGAGACCTCTCGACCCCAAGCTGGCCGCTCTGGCCAAAAGCGAGTGCAACGAGGAGCCCGCTCAACGCGACGAAATCGTGGCAACCATCCAGACATGGATTAGCAAATCGCCTCACCTCAAAGCGCCCACCGATGAGCAGCTGATCCTGGCCTTCCTGCGGCGCTGTCGCTTCAGCCAAGAGGAGACCAAGAGGCGTTTTGACAACTATTACTCCTTAAGGAGTGTCTTCCCAGAGGTGCTGGGCTCGCGGCAGGTGGACGAGGCCTTACTCACGCAGCTTCAGAGAGGGTGCGTAGCTGATAAAGCTTATAAAAAATATCCTATATGAATTGCGATTTCTGTATTAACTTGTGCTCTGGATTATGTGAACTTGGCCAAGAGTGAAAAAAGTTTAAATAATTAATCTGTGTTATGTAAATGGAACATATCATTTCATGAACCTTCAATAATCAATTCAAGTTCGCATTTTGTAATCAGCAATTTCAAAAGTTACCCAATTTACTCAAAAAACTTATCATAGTTCTGGTTTAAAAATAATTTATTTACTCATTATCTATGGAGAATTACTTGCTAAAGGTTTCGTAAATGTTGTGTTTAACAATAAACAAAAGGGAAATTATTTAATATGCTTGATAAAGAAAAAATATGAATTTATAGAAAAGAATCGGTTAGTTACCTCACAAACATAGCAGTTACTTTAATTTAATTTAATAGAATATTAAACCATAAACTCAACTCTAAATAACTTTCTTCTTTCACAGGATCCATGTAATACCCACAAGGCCAGTTAGTCCCGAAGGACCTCGGGTAATCATCTCCCAGTTCCGGAATATCGATCCCAAAAAGTCAAATCCCCGCGAGGCCTTCAAACTGGTCTTCATCATGCTGGAACTCCTGGCCCTGGAGTGTGATAATGCCTCGATCTCGGGCTTAGTCTGGGTGGTGGATTGCCGGGATGTGACCATGGAGCAAATGATGCAATATGATCCCTTTCTGCTGAAGAAATCCTTCGCTTTGGTGGAACAGTGTATGCCCCTGAGATTCGCAGAGATTCACTTGATCAATATTAGGAAAGAGGGACTGGCCATTTTTAGTTTTGTGACCAAGTTTCTGCCATCCAAACTGCCATTTAAGGTGAGTCACTTGTTGAAATATGTAAATAATTAAACTTATACTGAAATTCAGACAAAAATTGTATTAAAAAAATTTTTTATTTAATATTGTTTGTATGTTTGTAAGTTATAAATTCTCCCCTAAAAACACTATTCAATACATTTCCCTTATTTTCCATTACAGTTCATGGTTCACAAAAAATCCGAGGACCTGTACAAACATCTGCCCAGAGATGCTATGACCATTGAGTACGGCGGCACCAATGGCTATCAGGCAGAATCCTTAGACTATTGGCGCGAAAAGCTGCAGGAGAAAAAGGAATACCTGGCCAAAGATGCCCAGTATGGAACCAATGAGAAACTACGCGTGGGATTGGCCAGTGCCTGGGCCAACGGAGAGCTGGACGGGATGAGCGGTTCCTTCCGCAAGCTGGAACTGGACTAAAAGACTTTCTTTCTATGTTGTGTATTGTGTTTACTTTTTAATTAAGTGCTAAAGCTATACAAATAATTTAAGGCCTATTGGGTTCACTGGGTATCTCGTGTATCCTCTTAAAAATATCTTTACAATTGCCTAAATGGGGGAGGGAAACGTAATGCTAAGTGCTGCATTTCCGCTTGAAGTTTGAATGCAGAGATGTGGCTGCTCCTGTGGCAACCGTCGAGGGTGGGGTCTTGGAATCTGCAGGACTGGGCGTGGCCTTGCTTTGAATAGGACTCGTTGTGCTCTTGTTAATGCTCTGAACAATAAGGTTCAGACAGTCCAAACTCGAGCCATTGGGATTGCCCTCGAAGTCTGTTGAAGAATCAAGTTAAAAATCATTGTTAAATTGGTGAAAATTTATACACAATACAAATTAATATTTTTGAAATTTATAAAATAGGTTATATTTTCATTTGAATTCATTTACCTGTGAACTGACCGTACTTCTCCATATGCTTGTTGTAGAAACTGAGTTTATCTTCCAGATAAGCGCCGGCATACGAGCTCTGCAACGATAGGAAGCACACAGGAGAAATCAACTTTTAGTTTTGGCCTCCAACGGAATTGGGGAAACGAAAAATTACAGAAATGTGTCGCCGGCGAAATGACAACGTCAAACTGCTGTTGGCTCCCTCTCCGGGGCCTGCCTGTCAAGTTGGCCAACGAAATGCCATATGAAATGCAGTCTAATGACGAGATTAGGCCAAAATTTATGCCAGCCACCGAAAGTAAGGATTCCGCTGCAGGCCAATTAAAATGCATTGAACCAACGCGGAAAGTGCATTGTCTGGCAGACTCGTGCCCCATTGTGTGTGGATGGGATATGGTGGGGGGCATTGTGCACACTTATTAGCAATTAAATTAATTTGATACAATATTTTTTGCTGCGCATACGCAGACGACAGGGCATCCGGAGATGCGCCCGGCGGGATTTCATTAGAAAAATTCGCAAAGCAAATTATAATTGCCCCTTCTGGGTGGTGGGTTTCCTTGTCGACACTGCGTCTGCAAGGATCGGAAAAAGCGGGGCATCCCAAAGTGTTTGTGTTTATATTTAGCGGACAACAAAGTCTCCGAGAGGAACAACAGAATTCAACCTAAACCGAACACAGAAGCAGAAACAGCGACCGAAACAGAGCAACTCACACTGCACTTTTATAAAGCGATTTATCATTTTCCAAGCGTTTAGTGACAGCCTGCGCTCGATATGCGACAGCTCAGGCAGATACACGGAGAAAAAATAGTGGGGGAATATTTGTTAAATTTCTAAAATAATATTTATCTCATAAGGCTTTTTTATTATATTGATTTTAACAGAATTCTAAAACTCTTTCGAGTAACAAAATTCATGATAAACAATTTAATGATTTAAAAAAGAAATAAAATATTTACAATATTTTATAAATATATTTATTTTATATTTATTATATATCTCTTTAAAAATTGAAGTAAAATTGAAAAAGTCAAATCCTTATAAATTCAAAATATTTAAAGTAGCTTTATTTCTGTAACCCATTTTCTCAGTGCACCAATGTGTATGTATGTCTATATGGGAATTTTGGTGTATTTAATTTTTTTGTCTTCCCCCGAGCTCGCACTTCTTGGGGGCATATATCATGCGCTTGTATCTGAATGAAATGCCACTTATCACTTGGGCATTCCGTTTCTGGGGGTTGCGTAAAGATCTTAAGCCGCTTTTTGGCGCGCTCCTCTTAGAAGTTCTCCACCGATCCGCGTTTGCTTGTAACGGATATGCGGCATTATGCGATTTGTTAACCACAACATCGGAAAACATGAGTTCTTACCATGAAATATGCTTTTCATATGCCAAAGAAACCCCAATAGAAATTCTTGTTTGTGAAATGTACACTTTTTAGCTAAGAAAATATTTACATATTGCTAGATTATTAGTAGAAAAAATATTCTAAATAATTTGTCTTTGAAACCAAAATAAAATGTATTAAAAATATCACTAAAAAGAACCTTACTCCATTCTACAAAAATTATATTTCTTTTATTTTAAAAACCCCCTTAAATATTTCTTTATCTGAAAATCCTCGTGTTGTTTACACCCATTAAAACCCCATTTATTAACAATTTTGCACTTGCCTTAAATTCCAGTGAAATATTTTTGCCTATCTGACACTGTGATTGAGCTGTAAAGTCGACCAGAGATAAGGTAAATCGTACGCCAGCATATCTATGTTCGCGTGTTGCACCTAATAAACTTAATTGGGGGGAAGCCTATCAAGGCCTGAGTCACGTACAGGTACATTTATCAATGAGTTTGTTGGCACCCACGATACCCACATCTCGCTCTGAGTCATTTGCACCGAGAACTCTATCTAAACACTCAAACGATTACTGTTAACAGTTACGTAGAAAGTCGGCTGATAGACGGTTTGGCATTTGATTTTGGAAGTACGCTGGACATCTGGCCATGGAGCACTTCAATTTATTATGGTGGCGATAAGTAAATTCATAAAAACAGGGCAATTTAAGCGGTAATCTCCTGATTAAATTTATGAAGTGGCAATATTTTAAATTTGATAATGCAAAGTGCATTCGTTTACTTAAGAATTACTGATTTAATAGATTTAAATTACTACGTTTTTTCGATGTGAATATAATTATAAAAATTATCATAATGAAAGCAACGTTGTATCATTACTAACTCATTATCTTATCAAGGAATTTTTAAACATTATTCAAATGAATTTTAATTAAATTTCAAATGATATTTACCCACAAGATACTACACATTAAAGAGCTGTTCTAAAGGGAATCGAAAGATATTTACCCACAAGATACTACACATTAAAGAGCTGTTCTCAAGGAAATCTCCTGCTTAAATCTGTGAAGCGACGATATCAACGGCGCTGGTTTATAAATACACACTAGCTCCAATGAATGGATATGGATGAGATGGATGGATTGCCGGGGTCTAAGATGCATTTGAATGTCTGCACGTTTGGCGGGATGCCAGTTTTTAATCAAACTATGGCTGCACATTAATATCTGCCAATGGGGGGCGCAGTCAACTGCTGGCGGCATACAAATATGTAAAGTTTTATGGTAAATTAACAAATTTGTACATTAAAAATGTGAAAAACTTGAACAAACTGCATGGAAATTACTCAACCCGAAAGGAAAAGAGGGCGTGAGCTGAAGATGGCAAAAATGTTTGCATAATTGTTGACAATTTGTTGGCCTGTCAGGCCCCACCTCCTGCTCCTACTCCTCCTCAAAGTCTTGCAACACCTTTCGAGGAAAGAAGAACACCCCGGGATCTTGTCATGTTTTTCCTGTGCAATTTGTCAACTGACACATTTCTTTGTGTTTCCCTCCGACATATTATGAAACAGAGAACCGATCGCTGCAGCAATCCCTATACCCGGAACATGGTGGAAAACTCCAAACGAAGGCAAACGAATTTGTTGTAATTAATTTACAACACGATTTCCATTTTCATTTATAGTCCAGGCGGGCGGCGGCAACGGCATCGAGCTTATAAAAAGAAAATTTATTTATTGCATTTCCCTAAATGCAGACGCCGACCCTTTCCCTGCCGCCGTAAATTCTCCGGCGATTTGTCCTCTGCTTTTTCTTGATTTTTGGGGAAAACTTTCTTTTCAGCCCCCCCTAGAAACATAATTCATAAATTCAGGAGAGAACCATTTCTGGGGAGGAGCTAGCTGGTTGCCAGCCTGGGGAGCTTATTAAGTCGCACGTCAGCGAGGGCATAAATTTTGGTCAGCAGATACAACAGAAGATATCCATCCGAATATATCGGATGCGACTCTTTTCGGGCCGTGTACCAGAGTATATTCTATTTTCATGTTGTTCGCAAAGCGGCAGATCTCAGACCCTGAGATTTTGATGAATGTGCGCGTCGCCAAAGAAAAATGTACGAAAGCGTTGCCCATGCATGAGAATTTTACGAGAAAATAATTGCGGAACGTATTTCGGCAATATACAGCGATTCTGCGCTTAATATTAATTGGCGTTCAGTGTTGTTCGCGGGATAAACTTACCAGATAATCGGACTGGCATCCCTTGCCGCTCAAACTGGGCGCCAGGCTGTCGCCATCGCGGTTAGGTGTGGATTCCTGAAAGCCCCCATATAAACACAAGGATTAACTATGGTCAAATGCTCTAAGAAATGATAGTAGATATTCATACCTGCAGGAGATCCTCAAGGCTCTCGATGTACTCGATGGCATTGCGCAAGATCTCGACCTTGGGCAGCCGCTGGTTGGGATTGGACGATGTGCGTCGCTTGAGGATCTCAAAGGCCTCGTTAACCTAAAATGTGGAAAGAAACGTATAATCAATTAATGGCCGTCGTTGAAATCATGGAAATCCATTAGGCGCATCATAAAAACACACACACACACACAGGCCACCGACAGGCGTGTTGTTCTCCTCCGTTAAGAGGCTCTTTAATAAAACATATTTTAAATTAAATAGAGCATAAAATGTTCAACAATTAAACGTCTGTCACTTTATGACAGCCACCAGTGTCACACAGTTCCCGTCCCCCCTTTCTCCGGATCGCATCCCCTATCCCCCATCCGCCCTGCATCCGTTAATGTCTCCATGTGGAGCTATAAATACGTGCGGTTCGTCCAAAACTTTTACGATTGTCGAACTCATAAATGCCGCTGTTTAACTCTTGGTCTTGGCAAATCTTTATGTTTTACGCCTGCTGGGTGGCTTCCCTTTCTCTGTCGCCATCAATGCCTTATTGCCCTGCGGATCGCAAGTGGCGATGTGTTAATTTGTGGGGAGCTGACGCTCCTCATGATGACATTGCAACTAAGTTGCAGTCCTTAATTGTAGGGGAGAATGCCAAAGTACAGGGATCTATTTTAGAATTTGCCTAAATAATCCTTACAAAAAAAATGTGTGCCTAAGGGATAACTTAATGAGAGATTAGCTTTGAATTTTATAAATAAAGGATTTTTTTCACTATTGATGAAATATTACATAAATACTATAACCTTATAATTACTTCAATAAGTAAGTATTATTAATATATTTTACAAATTCTCAAGAATTTAAAAAAGGGAATTCATTTTTCAATTTTTAAGGTTAATATGCTGATTTGTTAACCTTATAATAAATAACCTTAGTTATAATCCTTTTCAAATTCAGCCCCGAAACTCGTAAGAGTATAGACCCTTCAAATACCCGAAGTTAGCTTCCTTTTGTGTGTCCTCGAATTTCCTAAGTCTCCTAAAACTTCGTTTGTATTTTCTTTTTCAATTGTTTAAGTTTACATTTCTAAGCAAATAGGTTGGACTTTAATTTCTACCTTTGTAGGGAAAAAGATATAAGTTAACTCTAGACACTGACAGCTGTATTAAGCTCCTTTGAAACCCAACTTTCCTACTCCTTTAAGGAATTTTTTATATCCTTTTCTCAGTTAATGTCTCCCTCACCTTTCTCAATCTCCGGCGTTCCCGCATAGTGGCCGCCTTTCGTCTATCCACGGTGACACTCTTCTTTTTGCACGCCTTGCAGGCCCAGGTGAGACAGGGTCGCGAGGATTGGGCCGAGGAGCAGACGAGCGGTGCCAGGACATGCTCTTCGGAGCTAAGACTGCTGTTCTCGTCATCATAATCCGTGGTGTAGATGGGCGAGGGCGTCATGTTCATGCCCAGCTGGTTATCCGCCTCTGCCGGATGATTGCCATTGCCAAAGCTGCAGGACGAAGCCGATCCAGTAACCGGAATGGAGCCGGAGGATATATTGCTTCCAACGCCGCCTTCGCCGACGGCATTGAAGCGGCTAAAAAAATTCTGCAGAGTCTGGTGGGGATTCTGGCCGGGATGCGACTGCTGCTGTTGATGATGCTGCTGCTGCTGGTGGTGATGTTGGTAGTTCCCATAACCACCGTATCCAGGATGAGATTGCAGGCCATAGCCGTTGTTGTACTCCTGCTTGATATTGTGGCCCGCGGGCATTTCATCATTGCCACTATTGTACTTGGTCATTTTCAATGCACTTTTCTTGGGTTTTGAGAGTCACTGTCACTGAGATTGTTGCTGAGATTGTTACTTCCTATTATCCTTCTTTTGTAACTCTTCAATGGTTTAATCCTGAGTTATAAATTATCAAAGTTCACTTGAAAGTTTCACAAATTATGTCACTTTTATTAAACAAATATTTTATGTATTTATTATGAAGATATTATCCTTCAGATGTTTGTTGGCCACAAAAAATTGTAAGTAATGATTCAGCAAAAGTTTCGCTTGGGTAATCTTAGTTTAACACTTTTCCAGAACATGTGTCGCAACGGTTCGATTGATAAAGAAGTTGTAAATATTTTAAAACGTTAACTTCCAATTTTTAATTATTTTTTATTGTTTTATTAAATGTAATATTATTTTCAATAAATTTTTGCACTTTTTCTGTGACTCCCCCGATTCACGACGTTTTTGCGAGCCACAGAGAGTACGTTCCGCCTTCCGCCGCAAACGCAACACATTTGGTGACAGTTGCGGCGCTGAAGCGATGCAGACCGGAGCTGAGATCCTCCTCGGAAAGATGCCCAGATGTGCTCGCGATCTGCTCCGCGATCCGCTGCTGCGTTTTGAGTGGCTGCTCTCGAGTGGGTTCTATTTTTGAACCGCCCGCCATTAGACGACATTGGCGGTTGTCTAAGGCAGAAGGACGCCGCGCATAGGCCACGCCCCCCTTTTAGTGAGTATTTACGACGGGGCCGTGCGGATTTTCCGCTCAATGAAAAGCATGAAGAGCCTGAAAAGCGTGAAAAGCGGCGGGAGTGGCGAGAAAAGTCGATGTTTTCGAAAGGCTTATCAAATAAATTCGATCCTACCTGGCGGCCGGCGATTAGTGTGGGGCATAAATTAGCCGTGGGGGAGCCAAGCAATTCGTTAATGTGACACTTTTAGTGGAAAGTGTCCCTCCATCCCCATCCCCCAAGTGCCACTCCAAACCGAACCCCCAAAAATCAAATTGAGCAAAAAAATAAAATAAGAGAGAAGGCAAAATAAAAATAAAGTCAAAAAGTTGTGTGTGTTTATTTATCGCCGCTCAGGCACAATATATATCTTTGGAAATCACCTTTAAATCTTCCCCGACGATATTGTAAATCTTTTGTCTTAGGCCCGCGGTTAGCTCGAGCATTTCCCATTTTCAATTTTTTTGTTTTTCCACTCTCCCTTTTCCCCGCCCTCCATTTGATTTGATTTCCTCGCGACGCTTTTCCCTCTCGCTTGGCTTTCCCGCCGTACTTTGATGGATGCTTTGTTTTGATTCGGTCTGATGGTATTTTGGTGGCAAAACCTATTTGTTGTGCCACACGATAATCCCAATTGTAAATCTTATCATTATCGCACGTCTCTAGGTTTTCCTTGCACCGGATTATTATCCAGAGCGACTTTAGCGAGGTATCCATGAAGTTCGATGGCCAACGAGAGAGCTAGTAGAAGATATAAGCAATGTTTCGGTTATGTTTCGGATATGAAACTAGTTAATATAATACATAGAAAATATATATAAAATTATGAGTAATAATTCGTTTACTTTTCCTTTAATAAAACAGTCCAGGATGGACAATACTGAAACTATTATTGCATTTAAATTATTTTTGGTAATAAATAGCTGATGATTATAAATATTTGATTTTTATTTCGAGAATACAAATTTACGTTACATTTTCAAATTTGAATTCCGATTGCGATAACTCATTCGATTACCTAGAAGCTGTATCTTCTTGCTGCATAGGTGGCGCTCTCTCGTCACAATAGATGGCGTTATATTGTAAACTATTTTAAAATTCTGGCTCCTCTATTAACATTTTCCAATTGTCTGGCAATGTCGAGCCGTTTGAATACTATTTTAAATATTTTTTGTATTTATTTATTTATTTTTATTATTTAATTATATTAAAACCTTGAAAATATTATCATTTTCGCATTTAAAATAAAATAAAAACGTAAAAAATAAATTATGCATTGACTAAATATTAATAATAATATTTGATTAATATTTAACAGTTCTCCTCCGAAACGTTGCATCATAATAATTATATCATATAATTAAATGCAATACTAAAGTTAAGTTGACTAAACTCTTTCCATAGATTGCTACCCAGCATACTCATTTTCCAGGAATTTATTTTGCAACTTCAGCTACATTTCCCATTTGCTGGTCTTTCACTGACGCAATACCCATTGAAATTTTGTGCAGACGCTTATCAGTCGTGTGGGTGTTTATTTTTACCGCGGAGTATACATACATATCTAACCTGAAGGTTAGATACTGTTGTCACTTCCGAATTGAACACGAGCCACATCATTTTCTAATTAAAGCAATTAAGATGCGGCAATGCGGCCAATTGTCTTGTTTTCGTTCTTGTTGATCTAACAATGAGTTCAAAAATTTCACCTGTTGCCAGGTGGCAATTGAGGCTGCTGTTGTTGTTGGTTGTGCAGTTTTATGCTTTCCATTCATAAAATTTCGCTGCAGCAACAGTGCGTATAAGTTACATCAGCCAATGCATAAAAGGCGGGAGAGAGCTTATGAGAAGTTTTGGAGAGAGAAGAGAGAGAGAGATGCGCAAACTTGGAGCTTCATTAACGCAAAACACACTGAGCGAAAAATGTATTAACTAAAATTTAAGGTTATTTATAATTAATTGAGTATTTAAGTATTCTTTAAAATACTTTATTACGTATACGATAGCCAGTTAATAGGTCTTCGCTGTATTTAAGAATTTATTTTGTTTTTTTAACATATACCAATGTTAAATCACATATTTTCAGTGTAGTTCCGATGTCCTTTGTTTTCCTGTACTAGTGGCATGACTCAAAAGTACGAATATAAAATGCAGCATAATTTGAAATAATCGGGCAATCATTACATTTTTTTCTACATGGGCAAATCGAATGCCGGTACTGGTTTGTAATGAAAATCGTTTTTATAAATTTATGCTTGCTCAGTGCTTTTGAAGAAGCAGCAAAACAGAGAGCAGAGCAACACAGTCCGGGGAGTCCGGATGGGTGGGGTGGTTTTGCTTGCCGGGGATGGATGTGGAGCTGGGGAACGTTATTTCAAAGCGGAAAAACGGCGCAATTCACGCATTTACATTGAAACCGTCGACGGAGACGGTCGCTCTGCTCCAACTGCCTGCGAAAGAAAGAGAGAAAGCGAACGTCGGCGCTTCTAAAGTTGTTATTGTTTGTTACACTGCGAAATGTTATTATTGTTATTGCCAGGCAGCATGGCGCAACGGCAAAGAAAAAGCTGATAAAAGCGGAAAAGAAATAGGGTAAACAAGAACGGAGTGTAGTGCAAAAGTTGAACGGAAATTGATAAGCTGTGAGAAATAATAATAAATCATCGGCGACAACGGCGGCGACGGCTACTGTGAAAGCTGCACAGGTATATACCAATTAGCAGGTGGCGTCAAATTGTTGCATGCCGAGAGATCGGGATCGGAATCGGAAGACAATATACAAGTGGCGGAATATGTGTGTCAGTGTGCCAAGAGTGTTTTATTCGCTCGCATCTCAGCTGAGAGCTTTCAGTGTCAACACGTGCATACAAGTATGCACATACACATATGTACATAGTTACATACATGTACATATGTATGTATATACATATACTTATTTACCTTGCTGTTGCCTTCCGCGCACTCTCTCTCCGTTATCTTCGACCCCCACACTCTCTCGCTCCTTCACTCTCTCCCTCTCCCTGGGCGCATCAAAACAGATTTTAAATTATTTTTGCTATTGTTTATTTGTATACTGCGTGCTGGCACTATAGCTATTTTGAATAGTTTCATTTATTGCTCGGTCATTGTGCATGCAACTCGTTGATGCAATTCGCCCAGACCCTGAAAATAGTTTCGATGGACATGGGGTTGTGAATTAAAAACCACCGAAATAAGTAAAATAACAATCAGAGTTTTCTACTTGCCCATGAAATTACAGTGAGAGTAAAAACTGAAATGCGTATTTCTTTATTTTGCTTCGTTTTCTTTGTTTCGGGGCTCTTAATAATGACACAGGTATATTTCCATTAATCAAAAATGAAGCTTTATTTATTTTTACAATAATATAAGAGTTGTATTTTATTTTTTTAAAATAGTAAGATAAATTAAATTTAAAATTTAAAAAGATACATAATCTTCAATCTAGGAGTATTATAGGGTACTTTCTTATCGACTCCCTCATATTATTTTCCCATCTGGAATTACTGACGCTCTTCTTCTTATCCATTACGTGGCCAGCATCTTTGTCGCAGACTCACATTGACAAGGTCAAGCGAAAGACTGACTCATGGATATATTGCTATTCAACTCTTACTACTATAATTATTATTTACTATTTTTAATATTTGTAATTTATTATTTTTTAGCCTTATCAGCGAGTCACTAAGAGTCTAATTTTTTGGCAGATGCCTTGTGCATTCCACACTTTGAAATGTATAACCAAAATGAATGAAATAAATATTTTAATATTTTACTGACAGCTATTGCTTAAAAACGTCGGCAGCAGTTAACCCATTTAAATTAATAAGCCAATTTCAAGGTGTTTTGTTGTGACTTTAAATGCGTTGAAATTAAGGCAATAAAAATGTTAATTTATAGGGAATATATTTACATAAACAGAAAAACTTAACATTTTTGAGTTAAATATCTATAAAAAGAACAAAGTTAATGTAATAATTATATAACAGATACACAAATATTGTCTTCTTAAAAACAAAGAACTCCAAATAATACAAAATGTATTAAAAAGAAAACAACGACTTTAAAAATAATCCTCAAAGAAGCCCAAACAAACAAACTGAGAGTAGCAAACAAACATTTACCTCTCCGCTTCAATGCAAACTTCCTTTAAGACCGGACTCATTTTGAATCTGAATAAATCTTTGAGTGCATGCAGCAAACATCAATAAAGTTAAATATAAGTCGTGCGGTTAATAATAGTCTTCATTTTCGCATAAACAAGCGCTCTGAACAAGGGAAAATTCGTCAAATGAGAGAGCCACACGTGTGCGCCAACTAAGTCAAAAGAAACTAATACTAAACTGGCCTGGGAAATAAAAATGCGCAAAAGATACAACTCGGGGGTTGCTGGGATTCCATTATATAAGGCGCGAAATTAGGCCAGATGTGTTAATTGATATTCGTGTGTGTGTATATAATTGTCTGCACCGAGCGAGCAGATCCAAAATGTTGTTTACCTTTCGCGTTATTGTCCAGCCAACCAACCGGACTGTCTGGCGTACTCTTTTATCTGCCGGCTGTCTGTAGTTCACAATTCTTATCGCGGCTATCAAGGGGGTACCGAATATTGAACCTCGTATCGCCATACTGCCCCTTATCGAGGGTCTTTCGCGTCCAAGACCAAGCAACAGCTTATCAGTTTGGCAAATTATATAGCGAAAGCAACGGCCAAAACGCGACTGTAAATTACATACTCGAGTTTTTGACGGGGTCTGGTTGGTCTATTAATTAAAAATGTTTTGGCTAGACCGTTCCGGACCTGCCTTCGTCAACAAATTTTTGATAACGAAGAAGAAAGCTTTACCAAGAATACTTAACAACCTCGTAAGAGGCTGATTCCAGAAAATATTATGCACAATAAAATAAAATATATTTTTAATTGTTTAATGGCAAGTGCAAATACCAGTAGCCCCCATTTATTATTTTATTCTCAAGTGGCTTTTTATTTCCAACAAATTAATTGAATTAATTACCTAAACAGGCCACACTTGAGAGGAGTGCAGGTCTAGAATTCGATTACGTGGGTAGTTCTACTAAATTGAGAGCAATACTATTCTTTTTTTTTAGCAAGATATTAAAATAAACTTATTTCATAGGTGAAACATTTTTAAACATTTTTTATACTAAACATCATATAAACAAAACTTTGTTATCGGTTATGAATGGGGGGCGTAGGTATATATTTATATAAATGAGTACATACAAAACTACAATAAATGATAATACACTATTTCAAAAATATATTATTTTCAATTTTGCAATTCGCTATATTTTTATTCTATACATTCTTGAAGTAAACAACACATTAAAAATCATTTATTTTGATGACCCCTTTCAATTGCCAGTTTATGGTTTATATTTTTATGAAGAAACTTGCTTCTGAGAACTTATAGATTGATTAGTTTATAACACTCGTGTGGCGTGAATTGTTCGATTACGAAGGAACTTTTAATATGGGATTAAGTAGCGGCCTATTAAGATAGATGGCTCAATTCAAGCCATTTAACACGCTGTCAATCTCAATTGTGATCACACGCCGCCGGGCGATGAAAGCTAAGTGCGAGAACTGCAAATGAGATAAGCTAGACCGAAAATTTAGACAGCTGCACGTAAATCCCCCAGCCAAGAGTGAGCCGTTATCCAAATGTGGAGTACTCGGCCTCTCGGTGTCTTTCTGTGGGTTCGTGTGCTATGTGGATTTTGACGAATTAAAGTCGGAATGATGTAGACACCGAGATACTTTTATGCCCCCCTAAATATGTACATACACTCATGTGCCATGTACATGCGATATCAACGTAGTACTTAAGGCTTTCCTTGTGTATACAGAAAACGGAGCACAGAATTTTTGCAGGTTCTGCGCCTGTTACCCAAGCAAAAACAAGTTGAATTGCCCGAAACAAAACACCTCCCTTCCCAGCCTTTGCTTGAGTCTTTGCGGGTCCCCTTCATTCTCACCCAACCGATAAAAACTATAAATTTCTGTATAAACAATTTGGTTGAGAAAAATTTGCTAACCTTGAACTGTCGGCAAAAAACTTTCACAATGAAAAAAGTTCAGTATCAAGGACCCAGCAACGTGTAGCGAGTGGCTTTCCGAGCGTTTTTCACTTGCTAACGAGCAACGGCCAACGCTGCGTATACGTAATTGAAGCGTATCTAAGGCAAGCAAAAGAAAACTCATTCGTGTGTGCGTGTGTGTTAGTGAGGGGATGTGGGATTGTGGGAGTGCCATAAACACACATTTTCTTGTATCCCTGTGTGCGTGCGGATATGCGTAAAAGGTTTTTGAACTTGTTTTCGGTAATTTTCCACACGCATCCCAGCCTGTTTTTGGGTCAATTTATTTATGCAAAAATACCAATCCCAAAGAAGAAGAGGCAAAGATTAAAAATAAACGAGAGAGCGAGGGCAAAAAAATCGAAAAAGAAGACTGGTATTTAGAAACATCGTATGAAAACAGAAAGCTCACACAAATACTGTGAAACTCGCTAGGCATTCGGGAAGGCGGCAATCAAAACAAAGTGTGCGAAATGTTTAAATTCATGCATATGTATGCGTATGAGTACCACACGCCAAATCAAATAGCTAAAAATACAAGCAAATATGCACATGAGGGTATATATACGATTGTATACTTATATATCGAGCATGCCTCGTTAATGGGCCCCATCACGATACCATGGTGTGGCAGCCACCACCTCGCATGGCATCTACACACAGAAAAAATATCAATTCATTTGGTCACTTATTTTTGGTAAATTTAATCATCAACCCATGTTAATGCCAATTATTTATGAAACTAAAATCAATTGTTAAACCTTTTCAAACTGTTTTATAAGAAGACATATTTTTCTTAAAAATATGAATAGAAGTCTAAAATAGTTTCGAAATATTAACCAATCAATCTTCTGAAAAAAAGTATTAAGAAATAAAGAAATTGTTCAATTGTGGTCAGCCATTTGAAAATGTGTATTTGGTCTTAGACAGCAGCGTAGTTAGCGCGGCGAAAAGATCGGTCACACATATTTATTATAAACCTCTGCTCCCTCTGGGAACATGTGAAAGTAAAACTTAGTGGGATGTATTTAATTTACAGCGAATGATTTGTACTCTTTTTTGATATTAAAATGGAAAGTGAAAGGCTAGTAAAAAGTAATTAAAAATAATTACAAGTGCCTAATGATTGTGTTTACAAAATTATAATAATAGGAGCTACAGAAAATTAATTATTAAGGAGCGTTAAAAATTTATTGCTAACCTATTAAACAAATGGTTTTTATGGAAGTAATAATTAAATAAATGAATCTAGGAATAAATAAACAAATTCAAAAATAGATCGCCCGATAAATATACATATATATAGCTTTACTAGTTCTCCATAATATTAAATAGAGTATACCGCTCAGTGCAAATACATAAATAACTTTGTATATAAAACTGGATACAGATAAATTCTTCTTGTGATAATATTTTAAAGAGTAGACTTTAGACCTAAAGAATAATAAGTTCAACCATAACTTTAAGAATTAAATGGATAATAGACAAGATTTTCTCCTAATTGTGCGACATATTACATGTGAATAGAAGTTGTAAATCTGACCAAGACATAATCTTATCTAGCTGACGTCTGAGCTGGTATTGTTTATTTTGATCTAAACACTGTAATTGTAACCATTAACTTCTATATCAGTGGCCTGTTGCCAGGCAGGAAAGATGATTTATTCCTGGAAACCAAGAATCAGGAATATCCAGGAAAAGCAATAATATTTCAATATTAATATATCAGTTGAAGAGATTTGTTTTGCCATGTCTAGTGGGTTAATACCAATAAATACACAAGGGCGTCACGAATCTTTATGATCCCATGATTGGCAATTTTTTAAAATCAAATTTTAAAGAATCCTTAATCAACTCTTAATTTGAGGCATTTATATATTTATAATTATTAAATGCCTGAATTTATGGCTGATCCTTCAGTTCAAGGGGTTTTTCGTTCATCACGCAGACGATTTCCAGCTTGGTCATTATATGATCGGTTATTATTTAGCATTTATAAGGTATATAAATATTTAAGTTTATTTAATTGTTTGATTATTTATGGACGTGTTTGGGCAGCAAGTCACCTTTACCTCAATTCGAAGCCGAGGCACCAAGATTTTGCCGCAATTCTTGCTTGATAGGGAAAACTAGACAGAGAAAAGGAGAGAGAGGGTGGCAGAGAGAAAAAGGGAGAGAACTGTGAAGCGGGGAGACAGTGAGAGTGAGAGAGCAATTTAAATACTCGTTCGCCATATTCAAACCTATAGATAAGTCTTGAGAGTCGTCAGACAGAGCGTCATAAATATTTATTTTACATTTTTATTTTTTATTTTTCGCCGCCGTATTTTGCTTTGCTCTGCTCTGCCACTCTTCCTCTTCGTCGTCTGGCGTTGGAAATGTTTTCGGTTTTTGCGCTGAACGTTTTAGTTCCCGAACGCTCGCGGAACTATTTGGTCGCACTCGACGGGAAATATCGCCCTAATAGAATAATTCAAGAAAATATCGCAATCTTAACCCCAGAAAACCAACGGCCCACACACAAACCACCTAAAGTAAGCCAGGCGAAAACCTGCAATTAAATATAAAAATTTCAAAAAAAATTTTGGCACAAGGAACGAAATTTCGAGTTTTATGTAACGTCACTCTGTTCTGGTTTTCCACAGAATCTCATCCGCACTCTACCATCAATGTAACTCGAGGAGTCGAAGCCTGCAGCCACCAGCATGCCCAGATAGCAGTCCCAGGATCCCGATCTCATTCACAAACAGCACTTTGGGCGCTCTACTCTCCTCCATTGAAACCTCAAGAATTCGACCTAATTAAAGGCTAGTGCTGGGCAAAAAAAAAAATGGCTCACTTCAGTGGACATCGCCAGCCGGCGGAGGTGCCAGCCCATTTCAAAAATCTCTTCACCAACGGGCAGCTGGGAGCGGCGGAGGAGAAGCACAATGGGGACAATGGCGAGCAGGAGAATCAGCAGAACAATGCCAACAATAACAATGGGCCATCGGATCCCTCCTGCTGGGTCTTTGGTTACGGATCCCTCTGCTGGCATCCGGGCTTCACCTACACCAAGTGCATCACGGGCTACATTCGAGGCTACGTCCGGCGCTTCTGGCAAGGGAACGTCACCCACCGCGGATGCACAGAGAAGGTAAGAGTGCCAGTGAGAGTGGTTAAATGGTGGGGATTACCCCATCTGGGTGCGGTTTTTTTTACGGCCTGGTCTTAGACAAGTCTAGCCCTTGTCTGTTGGCTCTTTTCACGCGTGTGTTTACTCTCCAACTAGCAGCAGCGATCTGGTAATTGTTTTATTGCCACTGCCATTTGTTTAAATGTTTTCGTGTCTGGACGGCGAACGACGAACGTCGCCAGTTGGCAGTTTTCAGTTTTAATGTGAGCACAGTGATCAGGCACGCGTTATCTATTTGTCGGGCGTTATCAGCTTCGTGGGGCTAATGGCAAACAACAAGTGAAATTAGTATTCGTCGGCGTGTAGAGCGGCTGCTGCCAATTAAGATACAGATTACGTTTTAATTAACATAAATGATTTGCTTGCTAAACAAGTCAGGACAAGCCCCTTGGGATCGATACAATTCCATAGATATGTGAACATAAAACCAGTTTAGGATTGGAATTTGATCAAGTTTGGCCTTTTAGGCGCTTTATTAAACATAAATTCTTCTGTTTGTGGCCCATTTTTGACCCACTATGTTATTTATTTACATTTTTTAATTGCAAAATGCTAAAGAAATTGAAATTGTAACCGTTCCACAAGTCAGCATTTTGTACAATAACAAATTCTTTTGCTTTTGGATTGCCCAATCAATAAGAAATGTTGCTTATTCACTTCTGAAATTGTGGTGCCATCAGCGTTTTGGTCTTTGTATTTTATAAATTTTATTAATACGATTCAAAACAAAACCTCCCATGTAGACCTCTATTTTAAATACTTATGATTAAGGTTTAAATATTTCCTTTTCCACAAGAAAATAAATTTTTTGCTGTATTTAGTGCAATAATAAAAAACCATATTATCTGAAAAAGGTCAAGGTCCGGTCTTCTAAATAAAAAAAGCAAGTGTAGCAAATAAATCATATACACAGAAGGTAGACAAACACAACGTGTTGGGGACCTTTGTGATAAGCATTAAATAAACTCTAGAAAAGAAAATGTATATAAAGTCCGCTTGAGTAATAATATGTATTTCCATTCTTTGTTACAGCCTGGACGTGTTGCAACGCTCGTTGAGGACAAAGAGGTAAGCAAAGTACTCATCACGAATATAATTTATGGGGAAGATGCAAGGAAAAAAGTGATTTTGCGCCGTTCGAATTTCTCAACGTAAGCCCCATTCTGTGTAGGCGGTTTGATTTCCTCCCACCGATGGCAATCGCCTTCGGGGGAGGTCCAACCTCACCCACTCGTCCATTTCTGAGGTGTACTCTGGCAGATTTCCGCAGACAACCCAGGGAAAAGGATTCGGAATCCTCGCAGATTCTTCTTCATCACCGCCAGGCGAAATTCCGCAGAATATAGGCGAATGCACCGAATGCACTTTTTACACCTTGATACTTTCTATCCTAGGCCCGGGGACTTTCGCCCAGGGCATATTAATGTTGAGTTACCAGGAACTCGTTTGTGGCCCCGAAAGACAAGCATGAAAAACTCAAAGCGGCGTTATGTGTTCAGCCGGCAGCGCTATTTATACGAACCAGCTGTGGTAAAACGACTTGGGAATCATAAGTGCCGTGCGTGATAAAAATAGATTAGTAGTGGGTTCGAGGGCGAGTCAAGTGATTCAATATATTGTTAGAATAATGTTTATCATATATTTTTATATTTTTGTTTATTAATAAATATTCTTTTTTGATTGCAGGGCATTACTTGGGGCTGCGCTTATAGAATAACGGGGAGCACGGCTCTGGAATATCTCAAGCAGCGCGAGTGCACGCTGGGTAAGTGAATCAACTGAAGAGTGACCTCAATGATAAGAGCTAACCCAAGTTGATTCCCACAGGTGGCTATGCAACAATCGACACCAAATTCTTCCCCCGCGTCGCCTCCCAGGACACGCCCTTCAGCGGAGAGGCGGTGGAAGTATTAGTGTATATTGCCACTCCAGAGAACCTCCATTGGCTAGGAGACGATCCAGTTGAGGAGATAGCCAAACAGATCGTTACCTGCAGCGGACCCAGCGGCCACAATGCCGAGTACCTGCTTCGATTGGCCCTATTCATGCACGAGGAGATCCCTGGCGTGAGAGACGATCACCTGTTCGAACTGGAGCGGCTGGTACTGGAGGAGCTGTACCGCCGGGAAATACCTCTGTCGTCTGTGATGGGCCGCAATCCGGACCGGATACGGCGCGACTCCCACGAGGACATCCGCCGCCCGCCCTCCTTCGAGTTTACGTCCCGCGTGCCCGATACAAAACTGCGCTGCCTGAACATTTGATTGCGGGTGTGCTGGCGGAGGACGATGGCGGACAATGGTGTCCGCCGGAAACCAAGAGCAGCAGCAAGAGCTAGTGATATGCAGGCCGCGTTTATGGCTACAGCCAATTCCAAATTCTTGATCGACATTTTAGCTTGTTAGAAGAAACCAGAGTCTATCGCCAAATTCGACGTATTCTTTATATTGTAAATAATCCTAAGGCCTAACCTTAAGCAGCAAATCCTCGATAAGTGATCTGATTTAGCCACTAAGCTAGATTTAAGCCAGTCCGTAAGCACAAACGACTTTTTACACGCAAAACTGTCAGGGAGATAAATTAAAAACAAAAGAAATTAACACAATCTTCGGAAATTCAGATTTGTTTTGGGGTTTAATTAAATACAAAAGCATTTTCGCAAATGGAAATTAGTGGCGACCATCAAGATCAGGCGAAACTCATACGCAAACTTATAACTAATTGGTGAGAATTTCGGCGGCACGATTCTCCATCAGCTTCTCCATGTTCGTGATGGCGCCCATCCAGGTGTCCAGGGTGCTGGCCATGCCGGCGATCTGGTTGCGGTTGAGGACGCGCGGCTGCACCCACGACATGTTCACCACACCGGCCACCTGATCGATCTCGCCGCGCACGAGATCCAAGGCCAGGGCCTTCATGATGAGCAGCTCCACCTCTTTGGCGGGCAGTTTGGTCTCGTGGGCGATGTCTGTGAAGGAGATGGCACGCTCAATGGCCGAGCGCTTGAAGGTCATCTCCATGAGGCAGAGCAGGGAGATCTTCTGTCGCAGCTTCACCTCCTGGGCGGCCAGATCGGGAATTCCGGACCAGATCTTCTTCATGTCGTTGAATCTGAAGGGGAGATTGAATATTAGTAACTATATTCTTTTTATAGATAATGCAATTAGGCAGTACTTGTTGATATCGCCCGTATTAAATGCCTTGAGCAGCTCCACCAGCCACTCGTTCTCCGTTCCCTTCAGCGACTCCAGAATGGGGTGCGCCAGAAGTTCTCCAATGTTATAGACTCCATCGCCTAGTAGGGCTGCCAGACCAAGGAAGAAGGCCTGCTGAGCCCACTGGTCCCGAGGAAAGTCGTCCAGGGAGCAGCCCAGGAACTGCAGACCGCACCGGTAGTAGTCGCTGTGCTTGCCCACCCGGCGGTAGTACTGGGAGGCGAGCATGTAATACTTTCCGTGGACGGGCGTCACATTGCCCGCCTCCTCCAATACATCGCGCAGCTCCTCGATGATCTTCTTGGTGGCATTCAGGTCGTTGAGGTTGCTTAGGTAGAGGTTGCCCTGCATCACCTGCAAATACCACACCGCCTCGTCGCAGATCTTCACCTTGTCCTTCATCTTCTCGAGGAACTCGATGGCCTCCTTTTTGTCGCTGATATTGTCCACAACCACCTCGAGGATTTGGATGAGGCCGTAGGGATTGATCCTGAAAACGACACACTGAGATTAAGATACTGCCAAGTCATCCGCAGACGTCGGACTCACTTTGTTTCGAAGGTGGAGAGGAAGTTCTGGTAGAGCTGGAGCAGCGCCGTCTCATCCTGCAGAGACTCGTGGCGCACGAAGGTGACCAGCTTGATGGTTAGCTCATTCCACAGTCTGCAAAAAATATTAATTATGCCGGGTACTAAGGCTTCAACAAATAGTACCCACTTTTCATTGTACAGCTCCTCGATGAGCGTCCATTCGGCGGCCAGGTCCTTGTTTGTGGTTTTCTTCTGGGCCGCCAGGTATGCGGTGACTGTTGCCTGTGCGTTGGACATGGCTATATCTGGCTATATCCCGAGTTAATTCCGAATTTATTGTAAAATATTCTCAAACTACAAAAATTGCAAATCACAATCGCTAGAGGTGCTAAAACGTCGATATCAGTATCGATACAGCCGATGTTCCCCAAACAGGCGATACATCGATATAAGATCCAACATCGATATTTATACATTGCGAAAATGTATTTCGAAAAAGTAAAATAATGTTAAATGACATTTTAATATAATTTTATTCTGACAAAAACATGGTTTTACAGCTCATATCATTATTTCAAATTTTTTTAGTGAACATCAATAGTACTGAATACGAGTTAGTATATTTTAGGTGTGACCAACGGTCGATAACAACATCGATTCATTTGTGAATGTATAGACAACGGTCACACCGTCAAACAGCTGTTCAGCGTGAAGTTGTGTACGCGGAAGAAACCGAATTGGCTCTACCAAAAATAGTTTATAATTCCGGACGCCAGGATCCCACGCAGCAGACACTTACCGCGCGGCCAGCCAGCCAGTTGCTCCGATCCGGTCCGAGTGCTAATCGCGGAGTCAGTCAATAAACCGATACAACAACAAGTCGAGTGTGCGCGGAACAGCAGCAATAACAATAGGCAGTGTTTTCGCACTTAACAATTTGTTAGTTAAACACCGTAGAAAAGAAACCGAAACGAAATCCGCGAAAGTGCCGCGACTAGAGTGGGATTATATAAATGTATAAATCGCGAACCCAATAATGTGGATTTGTCTGCACACGAGAAGAACTAGCACGCACAGTTCCACGCACTGGACTTGTGAATAGAAACCAGTTGTTGTTGCCCACGACCTCTCCAACTGGAAGAAGAAACCCAACTCCGCGCACCGACTGATTAGCATTTCTTTTGCGGACTAAGGCGCGTGTCATCCGTACGCCGCCACCCCATACACGCCCGCCGCCACCCGATCCCTCGCAGAAAAGCAAGGTTAGTTCTTATCTTCACACTTTCCATTAGCATATATGCCACGATATTGGCTCGAGTTTCTGGTCTCCCTTATCGCCTCTACTCTACTACTACAGCATCCCTCGCATATTTCATTCCAAGAATCTCAGCGATCGCAAGTAGACCGCGATCGATTGCATGGCTTCCACTATTTGGTTAGTCGCCAGTTATGCAATTGGGCTCCCCCAATCTTATCAGTGTCTGGGCACAACGGCGGCGTCTATTAAAAGTTCTTGGCCTGCAGTGGGGACAGGCATACATATGTTGGACAACTTTCTCTTCGCCCCTGCTCTCTGGCTTCAACAGAAGTAGCCACTTGAAATTTAGAGTTTTGTGTAACCAAAAAGAGATATTTTAAAGAATTGAAATTACTCAAGAAAATTCTTTATTAATTAGCTTTATAAATATCTTATTCGTCGTAAAAGAATTATTATATTATAAAAAAGATAAAGTATGTATTAGCAACTTTAAAAGCTATACAATTGGTTTTACTTTCTAAATACTTCTTCTGATGAACTCAAATGAAGTAGATCTCCTTACAATATGCATTTCAAACTAATCATGCCCTAAAAAAAACCCACTTGAGACCATCGGGAGTTTTCGGGAACATCCTGTTGTGCCGTCAGCGATTTCGTTCATTTCCTGACGAGTCTCCGCATTTCGGTTGAAAGAAAGTACCACTACTTTCTCAATGCCAGTTGATTTCCTTGGCCTGTTCCCCAGTTTACCAAAACTGAAAATGAAGCGGCGACATCTGGCAGCGACAGCAACAATACACAGCCAATGCCCAATATATAAAGCAGGCTGAAACTGAAACGTATTACGGTTATGTGAAGAGCGGCAATTCGAAAAATCCAAAACACATTCCGAAAAAACGCCGTCAGATGACGACTTCATCTTCGGCCCCGCCTCCGTCGCCGCTTCCATCTGTATCTCCGGCAGACAGAGCATCTGGCTATTAAAAGCAAAAGTGAAAAATGCCACACAGTCCCAGCCGCCGCTGCTGCAACAACGAAAGAAAAAAGCATAAACCATAAAACAAGTGCAGCAGCTTTGTCAAGTGCATTGTCGCTTCCTACTTTTTTTGTTGCATTTTGTTGCTTTTTTTGTTGTTGTTTTTCACTGTTATGTGGCGAGTCGGAGTAGGAATATTATTCAATTACAACAAGCCAATCCAGTCCCCCGAGGGGGTTGTCTTGCGGGTTGCGAAAGAGTTTTTTCTTGTATATTCATATACGATTTTTGTGCCAAGCCAAAGTCGCGCCGCAATATCAAGCTCTGAATTGCGACAGCTGCGGGTAAATTAATAGCAGCCAAAATGGTAAATTGCCAAAAACTATAGCTCAAGTTGGACTGATTTGGTTCAAAGCTCATTGTAAAATTTCCTGAGACACTGTCATAGGATTTTGGTGTTTACTCAAGATCTATTCGCCTCGATTTTATATGCTTTTATATATACCAAGATCATGATTTGCTATAACCAAACTTCCAACATTTAGAGCGTACTTAATCCACCGTGTCCGTGAATCCACACTTGAGAATTTTAAATTTAAATTTTATTCAATATTTTTTCTCTTCACATTTTGTGTTTTTTGAAAATCCTATACATATTTATACCCTTGCAGGGTATTATAATTTCAGTCAGAAGTTTGCAACGCAGTGAAGGAGACGTTTCCGACCCTATAAAGTATATATATTCTTGATCAGCATCAACAGCCGAGTCGATCTAGCCATGTCCGTCTGTCCGTCTGTCCGTCCGTCTGTCCGTCTGTCCGTCCGTCTGTCCGTTTCTACGCAAACTAGTCCCTCAGTTTTAAAGCTATCTGAATGAAACTTTGCATATAGTCTTCTATATACTCTCACTGCTATATATGTCGGAACGGGCCGGATCGGACGACTATATCATATAGCTGCCATACAAATGTTCAATAAATTTTTTGAAAAATAATTTTAACTTGGCTGTTTTTCAATATTATTCCATCATTTTTGAGATATAGCCTTTTTATATTATTCCAGAATTTTGGTAAAAATTTTATGAAAATCGGACCACTATATCTTATAGCTGCCATAGGAACGATCGGGAAATTAATCAAAAAAATTATAACTTCGTTGTTTTTCAACGTATTTTAATCTACTTTGACACATGAGCTTCTGGTATTATTTCAAAATTTTGGTAAAAATTTTATGACAATCGGACGACTATATCTTATAGCTGCCATAGGAACGATAGGGAAAGTAATAGAAAAAATTATAACTTCGTTGTTTTTCAATGTATTTTCATCTACTCTGAGATATGAGCTTTACTTATTATTATAGAATTTTGGTATACATTTTATGAAAGTCGGACAACTATATCATATAGCAGCCATAGAAGCGATCAGATGTAGAGAAAATGTAAAGCTGGGAATGTATAACTGTAACTGTCAAACTGCAAACATAATAAGTATAGGTAAAATGGTATGTAACTCAGTTTAGTGTCTGTTTTCGGCATTATAATTTATGACATAAATATGAAAACCAATCTGCAAGGGTATACAAACTTCGGCGTGCCGAAGTTAGCTTTCTTTCTTGTTTTTATTTGCTTTAAATTAATATTTTAATATCAGAATTTATGACATATTTATATTTAGTTTAAATTGCATAATGAACCTGCTTATGAGTGCTATTTTCGTGACCTCTACTATAACTTCATTGATACGAATTCGACTTCGAATTCCATTGGCGGGGCGATTTCATAACTTTTGCTCTCACCTCTGCTGCGCGCCTTGGGTTTGCCCAACTTCGATTTGGTTTTTTAAACAAATTTATTTTCATTTAACGCTGGGGCGCGCTTCTTTGGCTTTACGGCCTGGCATTTCTCTCTCTCTCTCTCACGTTTTTTATATGTGTACCAATGTAGTTTGGACAGCAACAATAGGCAGGCACCGGCGAACCGAAAAAAAGTGGTTTCAATGCTGGCAACTTTCTCCGCCACCTGCAAAGGCGACGCGACGCGATCTGAGCGCGCGACTCAAGCCGCACGCATGCGCAGTGGTCTCTCCAGCTTATTTCTGCCCCTTTATCTGGCCCCCTTTCCATCTCCCCATCTCCCCGACTCCCCGTCTTTCGTGTTGGCAACAGAAATTGGTCATGTGCCGCGCCGTACGTGTGTCTGTCCGTGTCCATGTCCGCTCCGTCAAAGATTGCGCGATTATCAAAACGCTGGCAAAGTCGCATGCAAAACGCGTGCGAGATTTTCAGGCTGCAATTTCATCATCAACACAACAGCGAGCATAATTATTGTTATTTCTCGCAAATTGCACTGTCAAATCGCTAAGCGATGAGTCGTCATGGTTAGCCAGCATTAGGCATTTACCACACAGAGAAATATGCAAATAGATCAAATGTAATCCAAGCCTTAATACTACTATATAAACTGAAAGATACAAGCTAATCTGGAGAGCTGTCTCTGAGAAATCTCAAAAAAATTCCATCCCAGAAAATAATCCAAGAAATCAGTAAACAATTATTTGTGTTTTGGTTTCGGCTAGATAATTTATAAAGAAAATGCCATGAGTGGCTTCTATAAACTGATATTTATATTTTTATTTATTTATAAAGTTTCAAGTTCACTAAATGTTTCTTACCTTAAAATTGATAGTAAGACGCATTTTTCAATACAGTTTGTATAACTTATAATTAGTTTAAACAATGGTAAAATTCCATTTAACACAGTTTAACATGGTATTTAAGCTTGTTTAAGATGTTTTCCTAACGAAATATAGAAAAAGTTATATTTTATAAATACTAAAATTAGTCACCACTATCTATAGCTAGATTTGATAAGCTCTTTTTTTTTGAGTGTGCTCAACTCACCCCACGCCCTGTGATTTCTCGGATTGAGAGCATGACTTTGATATTTTTTTTTTTCACCTTCAAGCGCTATTGCAAAGCCATCACATTGCATTGATGGCTACACATTTCCGCCGCTTTAGGCCAACTTCCAGCGAAGGCCAGATGCGAACCCTTTGTTGCCTGCTGCTGGCCGTAAAAAACGGGGCGCTATAAAATCGATGTTCAATCGCATCGAATTAGTTCGGGGCTCGAGCATCGTCGCTGCAAACTCACTTTGTAATGCAAATAGGCCCGAC